TTATTCAAATTTGACTATCAAATCACACACCACACGCGTAGTAGATGTCTATCTCGCTGACGCTCGTGGGTCAGAACGAACACTTTTTACTGGATGGATAATACGCTGTTTCACCAGACACAATCACCAACGGTGTCGTATCGTCATAAGACCGGGATCGACACCCTTAATAAGCCTCGATGGAGTGTGTGTCATAGAAAATAATCTGATTCATGTCTCGAATATTTATGTGTACGATAATCTAAACCTTATCAGCCACAAATACATCGATCGGTTATTAACGGAAACCAATTAAATGATATTTTTTCTAAAAAAGAGTATATATACAGGATGGGACTGTACCCAGTCGTGGATGAAGTAACAAAAACACTGGAAACCGTAGACGGGTTTCGTTTGGGACAGATATGTGAGATCAAACAACAACTGGAACGTGAACGCAAACGCGGTCGGCATTACAGAAAAAATATCACAGGGCCGTCAATTCCGTGGAAGGTGTTGACAGCGCTCTGGTTTCAGTCAGCATAGGATTAGGCCTAGCAGGTATCGGGTTATTATCCACCATCGTGGCCGCACCCATGGTGCTAGGCATCGAAATAACAGCCGGAGGGGTAGGGTTGATGGGATTGACCCTTAAGTTCATAGCTCGCAGATTGCAACGTGAAGCATTGGAAAACGACGAAATTGGAATTCTAGCCGAAGCGAAGTTAAACACAATAGACGATCATATTTCCACCACGCTCACCGACTCTAAAATCTCAGAGGAAGAGTTTCGTTTGGTGCTATCAGAAATCACAAAATATCACAGAATGAAACAAGAGATTCGGACCAAGTCTCGTAAAAACGCCGTCATCAGCGAAGACGAGAGAAAAAAAAATTCATGGAACAAGGGAAGCAACAGGCCCGACAAGCCTTCATTACGACAACCAAACAAATCATAGGAGATTCACAATAAACTGTTTCACGGACATCAACATAACGTAGCCAGCCATCTCAGCGAGCTGTAGGTAAATAGTTGAGCCGACACATACATACTGCAACTCGCCCACAGCGCTCGCTCAATGCTACTGAGACGGCAGCAGATCGGCCGGAGAACTGCCGAGATGCGGTATGATTTTGTGGAAATCAACATAACGTTGCCAGCCAGCTAGCCAGTCGGCTGTACAACCGAGCCGAGCCACACACTGCGACTTGCCCACAGCGCTCGCTCGGTGATACTGAGATGACGACCTGGGGAGGAAACTACCAAGAGATGCGTTTCATTCACTTTCAGACATCTGTAGCCTCGCTAGTCAGCCTGCCGTGCATCATCATAGCCGAGCCGAGAGACACACACACACTTATACTCGTCCATGGCGCTCGCTCAAAGCAACCCCCGAGACGGTAGCGAGGTGATGACTTCCGATACCTGCGTTTCATTCGGCTAAAAACACCTCTCGCAAGGATAATATATAACAAGTACGACAATACGTTGGATTGTTAGCCTTTCGCAAGACCGATCCCATGCTCAATTAAAAGTCAATATTTCAGAAACTATTCGACCGATTTTCATCAAATTTTGCATGCAACTCAGTAGTAGTATACACAATGGGGCTACGGGATTAAGAACTTCCCAAGGGCTCAAAAAAAAATTAATTGAGCCCTTGGGGGGACCTGGTCCTGTAACCCCATTGTGTATACTACTGAAATTATAAACAAACATGAGATTTATAACAGCAAACAAGTGTCACATGTCACTTATAACAACTTAAGTCAAAGTCATTGTGAAATATACAGTCAGACACTGGGGCCGACAGGTTGTAGACTTCTATTGAACCGTTGGCGAATCTGCCGGATTTGTCAGAGGGTCAGACGCTTTTCGTGAACACTGGTCATCGGTTCCCAATTGTGCAGATCGATGCTCATGCTGTTGGTTACTGGATTATCTGGTCCAGGGGCTATTATTTACAGACCGCCACCATATAGCTGGAATATTGCTACTGTGACATAGGAGGTACGAATGCTACAAGAAAAGTTACCAGATCTTAGCCTTACGAGAGCTTTGTGAAATTTGGCCCGGGTGTTCCAAAATGTTCGTGCAGGATGAGGGAATGGCATTACAGCACAGGGCTACGCTGACCAGGATCCTAAGACATCACATCATGCCCTTCTTCACATGTCACCGGAACCATGTGTTCCAGCAGGAAAATGCCCGCCCCCATACAGCCAGGGTCACATTGGACTTTTTACGTCAGTGTAACATCAAAACCATGGGCCATGGAACATTAAGCATCCTTCTGTGCATAGCTTTTTTGGGCCAACCTCATATATTTACCTACCGGTATACTGAACACACATTTCTGCTTCATGTAAAACCTCCTCATCTGAGTGGGTTTCTCCAGAACTTTTAGGTTACTTTATTGTACCTACTAGTGTTGGGAATTGGTTACAATCTCATAACTGATGATTGTTTAATTACAACCGATCAATCATCGACAGTAATTGGTTAGCATCATTTATTAGATTTTCCTGGTTATGTTTGTTAAAGCACCTAAAATAAAGAAAAAAACATGTAGTTCTTTTTCGGTTTTTGCAAATTGCACACAATGCAGTTGCAAATTTTACATCTTTAAAGGATGACTAGTATATTAGGGACATTACTTTCCTGGACTCTTTAAGATAAATACAAATGTTATGAAGCGTAACAGATAAAACCAACCTTGTGAAAAATATTGTCAATGCAAAACAAGGGTTTCAAAATTGTTTGTGTTTGATTATGAGAAAACATGATCGCTTGATCATTTAGTCATTGCAACCAATCATTGATTATTTAAATTAATCGGACCACCACTAGTACCTACAGGGTAATCCTGGTAGATGATCAATCATTGAACATCACCTCTCATTTTAGTCGTTCTCACAGTCCCTGAACTACATTATGTCTCCTACTGCCCAGCCCTTTCTGCAATGCTAAAGCCCTACAAGTCTACTCCCATTTGAACATCACAAAGTAGTACCAAGTGTGACCATAATGTTTCATTTTTCAACCTCCCATGCAATCAAATTTCTAATGATGTATGTACTAACAAGTTTTGATAACATGACAAATAATGACAGGCATCAGTACTTGCAGGCATTGTATCCCTTTGTCCATTCCATAAACAACAAACAGATGACATGATGCAGTAACCGCAACTAGGCCATCTGCACTGTGGACATGGTAGAAGGGTTAAGGTACCAGTACAAATAAGAAGTGAAGTGAGGTGAAATTGGGTTTAACGTCATGCTTGAAATTATTTCACTCATATGACGACATGCATGCGTGTGTATGTGTATGTGCGGCTGCTTGTACTAGCCCAGACTTAAGCTGGTCTTTTAATGCTAGCCCACTGAGATACTCTCCAGGCAGACGATCTAACCACTACACCACGGAGGCGGTCGTACAAATAAGAAGCTACCATCATTTTATTGGAATTTTGAACAAAAGCAGTGATATTACAGGCAATAATGTCAGTTACTCATATGTATTTTGCTACAGCAAGTTGGCAAATACATCCCAGCCTCAGTTTATGTTTGGGTATGAAATTCCATATTGATTGATTCCTATACCATGCAATCTAAATAGCTTAGGCATATAACATGTGCATAACTTTATTGCAGGATTTTTAAACATGACATTTCATCATGCAAAAATTGAAATCAGCTGCAAAGTACACAGCAATTTCTATTCGGGATGTCCCATTTTCACCATCAGATCCCTTGCAAATCAAGCACCATTTGTTACATTTTTTGTGCCCTTCATGATTCTTACAAGGGAATGTTTTCATATGGTGCTGTTTTATCCATAACGAATCGATACTGAATGCAACAGCTCTAAAAGTATCACAAAAGCATGAATTGTGTCTGGCAGTTGGCAACTGATCCATATCTAAGGCAAACCACATAAATGATCGCAACATCAATTTAGCATTTAAAAGAAGAAAACGGTTTTCATCTGCAAATGGACATGTTACTGGACAGTTAAGAACAGATAGGACAGGAGAATTTGCCTAACTGCTCAGGGTGCCTACATCAGAACTGCTCTTACGTTTTGCCTAAAAATGTCATAGGCGTAACATTTTAAAGTGGGTATTTGTTTCACCAGTCCACATGTGCACAAATGGATGAGAACAATGAATAACATGATATCCATGGGTTTTCATTAGTCTGTTACCATTTATTGTTTACTACAATCTTTTGTCTCCTGATGAGGATGATTAGCAAAAATCAAGAATTGTGCATTAAATGGTTATACTCCCAAATAGCATTCGGACGTTGACCCAACGTTGGCACGTTGGCAAAACCAATACGTCTGAATGCTATCTGGGACTGTACATGGCATTGAATATCTTGACACAACAACATCTGCTGTTTGTTATTTTTAAACCCATCACTGGAAAATGTTGTTTACGAAATTATCCTGTTGTTATGTGTACCATGTGAAATACTGAACGGACTGTACAAACAGCAATTTGCCTATCTGCAGTAAACGACTGTTACTATTGATTGCCAACACTTCCTGGTTACATACTAGGTGTGGATAACTATACATGTCAAAACCAATGCACTCTCCAGTTTACTGTTTCAATTCAAAGAAGATCCCCCCCCCCCTCCCCCCCCCCTCCCATTTCAATGTAATTAGGTGCATATATTCTCAAAACGAATAAATGAAATAAAATGGGATTCTTTCTAAGCAATGGACTGTATTTTCTTATTACAATGATTACTGCAAGTTTGGTCGTGTGATCAGATCTACTTACCTACACTTCGTCTTGTCAACATAAAACGTATGCATGAAGCCTTACAAACGTAGTACAAAAATACTAAATTTGCAGCTACAAATACATTCTAAGTCTCACTGCAAATCAGTATTGTATTCTTTTGCCTCATGACCAGTCAACACATAAGTGTAGACTCACTTCACATGACTTTATCAGCAGTTCAACATATTTCAACGAAGCAGACTATTAAAGAGGCGTTCTCACCGGAGTCCTCTTTTGCATTTTCGTCCTCCTGTGCATCAGTCATGCTTGATTAATCCTGATGGAGTGGAGGGATACACACATGCTGATGCATCACTTGATGACATAACAAGCATGCATATGACAGTCATGTACAGTTATTTCCGCGGCCATTTTAGGTCACGTGACTTGTCTCACGAGATGCGTTGCGGGCGAGGTTTCAAGGTCATCATCAGTAACGAAAGCCAACGACCTCCATCACAATTGCATCCAAATAGTAATAATTTGAACAAAACATAACATATTTTTCCTTAAAATATTTATTATAAACTCAAAGCGCAATGTATCTGTTCCTGATCAATGAATATCTGGGGCACCTGCATATTTTTGACTACATGTATAAGTCCGCATTCTATAAATAATTATGAAATATACTATTTTGTGTGTATTGGATATGTAAATGCTAAGGACGTTTCGCAATATTGAATATTGTAATATACATCAATTGCGATAGCATTGCAATCGCCTCTGTGTAAACAATTGCAATGTCTCAATGGACTATTTTCCATTGCGCCTTAACTTTGTAGTGACTCAGCTCAATTCGAACAACTTGTTTGGGCGGGAAACAAAAGGGACGCCATCTTGTTAGTTTACTTCTGATGTGGATAATATGCGGAGTTTTTGTAGAAAATGTATAGATAGACCGCCTGATAGGCGATTTTATATCATTTGTAAGGACTAATACCATCGCTGGAATAATATTTCGGTAATTTGGAGGTAAGTAAGCCTTGATGCACGTTGTAAATTCAAAAAATGTCGTGCAAGCTTGCACTCGCGGTATTTCTGAGTCCGTTCCGATTTGTGCACACTGTTGATTCCCATACACGGAAGCTACAGGCATATACCTCGTAATTTTGCGTTCGTTTGATTGCTGCACATTTTTTTCGACGACATGAGCAACTTAAGATTGTTATTGTTGCTTATGTTTGTATATATGACACGTTGTTGATAAATGCAGTGTAGTACTATTAGTAATTTGGGACTTGACGAAACGATGCGATCATTATCGAAGTGTGCATGTTGGAGTCGATCAATGATCTACGTGTTTTCTGTATGAGGAAATGAATATTTCAGAAACCGTTAAACGTATTATGTTCACAGCAAGCTATTGACTGAAACAAACATGTTAAATTTTACTTGTGTTTGTCTTTTATTTCCGAAAGATTGTTTGATTTTGACGAGATCTTGACCACTATTCACCTAATGCGTCCTCCTGGAATCAAGAATCCGATCATGCATGTGTTTGCCGGTGTACTCTATATCCACAATGTCCGCATTGCTGACTATATGTTAAAAATATTTATATTTTAAGCTTTATAGTGATTTAAGGATGTACAATCTGTTAAAGTAGTTGCAGACAGTGTTGTTATTTTTTGTCACCTTTGACCTCTAGTCTACTAATAGTCCTGCAGGTCATAATTTTTTACACTTTTGAGTGCTCTCAATGACGCAGCTTAGAATAAGAACTCTCCACATGTTGTGGTTTTTCGAATACTTTACACATTCCTTTTTATCTTGCTAATCACATGAAGAACTGTGCAACATCTCACTTATTACAGTCAGCATTTCTTGATGGCAATTCACACACCATCATGTGAGAATTTACAAAACCTGTGTGACACACACTCGTCCAATAAAACATGAGTACATAGTGCCACTCAGAAAATTTTGATTTGACGATGACCTTACCAATAGATTTACAACGTCCTATGATCTGATGTTGACATTATGTTTTTGGCCCTCCAATGAGGCAGATATTACTCTTCTGATGAATAATTGTGCAATATGTCAGTGCAGACACAACACAAGATAGCTGGGCATATGTAAATATTAATCCAACATTCAAATGTTTCCGTCAGTGGATGAAACCCCATTACTTTGATGTATCATATTGATTTGGAACAATATCATCACGAAGCCCCTTGTATCCCTCCAAAATATCGTTAGGGGTTTGTTTTTCATCAAATTCAGTTTTAAATGTCTTGCATTTTCTACCTTTCACCAAATGTCAACAAACTAACAACAATGCAGGTTACCTCCCTTTGCTTCATGGTTAGAATCACAGGGTGTACAGTGATCTGATTGTGGTGAGTTTTATGATAATACGTTTGCAAGACACCATTGAGATCTCAAGTTGAAGCAATAAACAGCCATCTGTAAGCCCTGCCATGAAATTTGGAGAAGAAAAGCTTCTGGATAGAAGAATTAACTTGTTTAGAAGTCTAATTTGAATTGGGTGTAATGTGCAGAAGTCTTTCCTAAATGTGCTAATAGTGAAGTACATCCTTCATGAAAAATAGTATGTTGGACTGTGTGTTGGCAAACCTTGTAACTCAATATATTCTGATACAGGCATCTGTATTGCCATACATGTTGTGATATGTTGGGATGGAAAGTGTTTGACAGTGTGTGACACTGCTTGTACATGCACATATATTAAATTTGACATACCAAGAGGCTCTAAAACCAAATGGCATTGTTCTGATAACATCAATCTCAAAGTTAGGGATCGTTTTATTTTCTACAAATTTAAAGTGTTATAAGGTATACTGTGTAGTCAGTTAATTACATTACAAAAGGTCATTAGACCAGCCTATTGCAGTATACAGTCCTACATGTATGTGAAGATTTCTTAGCATCCGGTAATTTGAGTGTTGCACTGAAATGTTTGTACACCCTTAAATCTGGTATTGCCTTTGGGCTTGCCCCAAATATTATGCCTAAATCATTTTGTAACACAATTGTCTACCGTTTGTCCCTATGTAACAGTTTTATTACTTATATGGTAAGATGTATACTCAGCAGTCTGTGGATAGAATATGCGATCTTCATGTTTCATTTGAAACCTGCTAATTGTGTCATATTCATTAAAATTGGATCTTTTTATTCATGAACATGAGTGCATCAAGATCTTTGGACATACCTTTGGTAGTTTCAGAGATGGCCCGTGCAGGCCATCAGGTCTCATTTTCTAGAACAAATTTCTGCACAAATATTCTTTCAGCAGTAATCAATTTCAGTGTAGATTCCATTTTCCTTTAATATCTGACACTAGGTACCCCACCAGCCATAATTATTCAAAATTAGGGTTATAAGGATCCATAAATGTTCATATAGGGAAGCTGATTTTGCTAAAACTGCATGTGTGAATATGGATTGCATATTTTGAAAGCGAACATAAAACGATTGGTGTAAATATATTACGCTGCAATCAGCAAATTCTGTAAAGAATGAAGTCTGTGCCAGATAGTCCAGTGGCTCATATCTTGAAACCTGGTTACATCCATCAACCAAGTCTGCAAGTATTACCACCTAATGCCAATAGTTTACCTCTTATTAGGGGTGTCACGATACACCAATCTCTCGATACGATACGTATCACGATTTTAAGGTCACGATATGGTACGTATCGCGATACATAATTTTCGCACCTTTTCATAGCATTACCTTACCGGCAACATACGCGCTCGCTGATTGGTCCATCAAAATAGTCTAGCCAATCACAAAAGCTGTTAGTTTCCAACCTATTTTTTAAGTAAAGCTAGCTACATCTATTTATCGGAATGGTCTCGTATGATTTTACTATCAAGACTTTGACTGAGACTTTGAATCGATAAAGTTTTAAAATAGGAATCGATACACGCAAGCATGTATCGCGTATCGTATCATCAGTAAACATGTATCGATGCATCGATACATTCGCATATCACGACACCCCTTCCTCTTATCACAAGTGTTATATGCTAAAGACTAGGTCTTTCTGGAATCTTCGCAGTTGTATTGTATGAAAAAATAATTTCTGTTTAATCGAAGTATTAATGTTAGATTTTCTTAATTTTCAGACACCAAGTAACAATTCAAGATGTTTTACGCACACTTTGTGCTCAGCAAGAAGGGGCCTCTGGCCAGGATATGGCTTGCGGCTCACTGGGACAAAAAGCTTACAAAAGCTCATGTGTTTGAAACAAATATAGATAGCAGTGTTGAAGCTATTCTGCAGCCAAAGGTAACCTGATCTTTTCCTCATCCAAGTAGTTGTTACTAATTGTGTGTGGCCCCAGTGTTTGAATTAAGGCCTGAGGTCTACTGCAAATGGCAGGAAAGAAATAAGATTTCATATCATTATTGTTTGCTCTTGCAAAACAAATGCTTAATTACTTTTTCATGATTTGGGAAAATGCAGACTTCTTGTATGGTTTTGTTTTGCCCCAGTTATGTTTTTGCCTAAAACTAGTGAAAATAGCATGCTACATTGTAAGGACTTGTAATTTTCTGACTCATGTTGTTAGACCATGAGTCTGTATCAAAGCATTAAGTTTTATTTTCAGTATATATTAGTTTTCATTTGGATTGATGTAAGTTGATCAGAAGAGCTTGACTCAATTTCAGACAAGGAGGTGAAGTTACAGATTGAAGAATAATTGTGAACTTCTTACATTTTGTCACTGTTAGTTTCAGGGTTTCAGATCAGTTCATTTTTATTTGTTTTGATATTGTTTGAAAAAAGTTGGAACAAATTACTACAAATGTTAATATTCTGCTTCAGGTGAAAATGGCTTTGAGAACGTCTGGTCATCTTTTGTTGGGCGTGGTTCGAATCTATTCAAGAAAAGCTAAATACTTATTAGCTGATTGCAATGAAGCATTCGTGAAGATAAAGATGGCTTTCCGTCCTGGTGTTGTTGATTTGCCTGAAGAAAACAGGGAGGCCGCTGTTGCAGCCATTACTTTACAAGAAAATTTCCATGACTTCGAGACCACGTTAGCAGATTTAGAGTAAGCCCATTGCCCAATAATTATCATCTTAAATACTTGTTACCTACCATCTATTTTAACTTTTTATTTGTGTACTAAAAGAATGCTCTTCCCAGTTCTAAGATGCTTAATTATTTACATCATCATGCCAGGTGCAGCAACTGAACTGAGGCATTTTTCCTGATTTTAACTGTCAACAGTGAAGCAATTATCATTCTCATTACTGTAGAATTATTGAAAGTCAGGTGGGTGATAGAATTCCAGTTTACTGATAATGAATCGATTCTGAATTACAGGGATATTGATGTGCAAGCCCAATTCTCAGTGAATCAAAGTCGACCAGAGGAAATCACCATGAGAGAAGATTTGGGCAGTATTCAGTTGATGGGAGATGATGGTTTTGGTAAGCTTTTTTAGAGTATGTTAGTGATTTTGAATGTATAAAAAAGTGCAGGTGAACTGTTGCAGCATTTTGTTACTTCAAGTGGGGTTTTGTTCAGGTTTTTTTTGCATGAAGAAATGTTACATTATTTTAATAGAAGGAAAAGCTTATTTGTATTTTTGTATATTTACTAACAAAATGTTGCAAAGTGATTTGTATTTGTTTCAGAGATCTTGTTTCAGAGTGTGGAAAGCATCAATGTATGTTTCTTTACTCTGTTCTTGCCTTTTTATTATTAGGTGACATGTTTGAAGACGACTTTGGAGGGGAAATTTCTGAGGACGAAATTTGCCTCATTATTTATGGATTTAAGACAGATTTAACTAAACACCCTCTCGATTTTGATCTTCTTATGCAAACATTGGATATGACATTAGCTCGTTGTAAATCTCCTGTAAATAAGGATCTTAGCCCGGGGCTTCGTCACAGCGTGGACAGTGGTATTGAACTCGACGTAGAACAAGACAACTGTGATATTAGTGAAAGTCTTGAAACTGACAGTGGTATCCGCACACCTTCTGAAAGTGCTTCAAGTAAAAGTGCAGCTATTTCTTGCGAATCTAGTGCTACTTGTGACAGTGCTATTGCTCACTCAGGGAATTCTAGAAAATCTCAGGACAAAGTTTCCTTGGAAAAGCTGGACAGTGGAATAGGTCTGGACAGCGATCCAGGTTTCTATGACTGGGATGAATCCGAACATAATTCTGTGATAGAAGATGGAAACTCCCATTGGGATGACCCCCATGCTTCTCCGTGTTCAGCAGGACCGGGTAAGAAGTAATCCTTGTGGGGTCAAAGGTGAAATTTTCTCCATTCCAATTGGAGTTTGTATGATCGAATTTCCAGCATCTCAATTGTTCATATGTGCCAAATAAGAAAATATGTACATCATTTTAAATATGCTCTTTTATGATTTCTGAAAGCAATGTTTTAGGATGGACTGCAGGGGATTGGGAGTCTGCAAAATAACAATCGATGCTGGAAGTCTTGATTTTTATGTTGAAACATTCTGTCGTGACCGTCCTTAATGTACTGGCTGCATATTCACTGTTTGTTCCTCTTGACCTTTGACCCCTCAAGGATGGCTTCTTGACCAATGGTCTGTGATACTTAAGATTTACTAATGCTTCTGCTCATGTTTCAGAGCTTTACTCCAATTGGAATGTGTCTGCTTAATTTACAAGGCTTTTGATCATACATGATAATTTCAAAGCACCAGTAGTTTAAATTTGTACATCAAAAGTCTTGTAAATTCAAATAGAAATATGAAGTGGCATGGTGTGTATTGTAGAAAAAAAAAAGAAGGGAAATAATTTGATTTCATTATAAAAGTATTAATATTGATTATATTTCAGGGGATTTGTTTTAATGTAGTGCTGAAAAGAATACACACTTGACTGAAAGGTTGTTTAGTTTACAAGTTTGTAAGTATTATTCACACTTTTCAATGTTATTAGGTGATGTTGGGTTTGATGAACGGGAAATCCTCAGAGATGCGTCAAATCTTGACGACACACTGTACAAGAACCAAGATATATCAGCTGCTCCTATTGATGACCATGAAAAAACTTTGGGAAATCATAGCACATCTCTGGAAAAGTCCATGGATGTTGACATGGAGGCACCCATCACAGATGATGGATTTGGTGCAGTTGGCGATGGATTCATGGGTACGATTTACAAATTTTGTTCAAATTGTTGGCGTTCTTGTATCTTTCATTTATCTTTAAAGTTTTGCCTTTCATGTTCAGTTGAACTTACCCTGTTATTTGTTTTTCAAGTTCATGTTTGTTTATTATTTCTTCAAAATTAACAGATGCAGATGACGACGATGATGATGATAATGGAGATTTTGGTGATGTTGGAGATGTTGATCAGGCATTTTTTGGTGAGAATATAGATTTTGATTCCATACTCTTGTCCAAATTGTGTAAGAGAAGTTGAGACATTGAAATAAGGTGCTACAAATCAAACCTTGCTTATTTTTGCATAACTAGTGATTTGAGGGAAGTTTTAACCTGCCTCTGATACAGACCTAGTAACTATATAGTAGCTTCTCCAGTGAAAATATTATGGTTTGAAAAATAGCTTTTAGTGGGTTTATACTTACATGTAGTTCAACCATTTAGGTCAAGAATTCATGGAGCCTGCAGGTCTTTTTGAAGACACACCTATGCCAGAGGTTCCATTGCCAGCTGAGGCTGAAGGAGAGCCTGTACCTAAAGATAGTGAAGGTAAGTGTGTGTTTATGTGTAATTGTATTTAACTTAAGTTATTTACATAATCTAATAGCCGATTCTCTATTATTATGATCGTGGTTAGTCTGTTCACCAAACTTGTGAACACAATTTTCACCCAAGTGGAAAACAATACCTACAATAATTGTCCCTTCAGCATTAGGAAATTCTGTAATGTGATGGAAACAATGTTGAAAGTTGTGTTGAACATAGTCAGTTCTATTTCTGTTGAGTGATTTTTGAGTTTTCCAAATGTGAAAGTAGACTTTATATTGAGGCTTGTAGTGTATTAATTTGCTCCTTATCAGGTCAGGTGGAAGTATGATACCTTCTTGTTTGAGCTTTTGGTATCAAACCTAACAAAGTGGCATTAAAGGTTTATTGTTCTGTTTTCAAGTTATCTGAAAGTGCAGTGAGAAGACATTTATAATTTTGTAATTGCAGAAACACAGAAGGTAGTGGAGACATCACATAATGAGGCGGAGGTGACACAGCCAACAAATACAACCAACAGCACAGCTGGTGAACAAACCACACTTGTACATAATGAAGAAGAAGCATTTGCCCTTGAACCTCTAGATGTCACTGCTGTACCAGGTACAAAATATCTCCAGCCAGTTTCTGTCAAGTAAAATGTTACTTATGTCATGTAGGGTTAGCTTAAATATCTAAAGTAAATGCATCAGGACTAAGAATCCAGAAAGGAAGCAAATGACATTTGTTTAAGAAACTGTTAAGTTTGCATCTAGGTGAATTCACAAGTAAGTATGGTAATGACTTAAATAATATCCTAGAAAGATATTAGTTTCTTCAATGCCTAGAATGATTTAGTTTGTATTCATACACTTCTTAGTGACTGCATAGTGCCAATTCCACATTATCGTGTTGATACAGGTGCTGAAAAGAAAGCCAAGAGGAAAAGAAAACTAATTGTTGATGAACATAAGGGCATTCCTGGTGAGACAATGAAGCTCCAGCTGTCGGACACAAGTGATATTGTGACAACACTGGATCTTGCTCCTCCCACCAAGAAGCTCATGCATTGGAAGGAAACTGGTGGTGTTGAAAAACCTTTTGCCCTGCCTGGAAGACCAATAGTCTCCAAGACTTTGTCAAAGGTAAGTTGGACTGGGTTGTAAAGCTGAGCACTTTGTGTCCTGCAAAGGATCTTTTTAACATTGATTTTCGATAACTGAAAGTCACAAGATGCTGAAGAAGCTTGGTCCAGAGATGCTAATCTCTCATAATTTTGGTTGTTGTTTTTTTTATCAAAGGAAATGGCAAGGAAACACTTAAATTTCAGGTGGGGAAAATGTTCAAATATCTCTGAACAGTGAATGGGAAAAGGTCATTCATTGAATCAAGAAAGCAACTGAAGTCAAGTCAAGTTGGTAACAGATGTTCTACACAGCTTTCTAATTTTGTTTCCCTATGTCATTACAGCACATTTTAGATTTGATATGTTATCTTACTGTGTTGCCTTTGAAAACCTTTTGAATGCTTCCTTGTTTTTGCAGATGTTCTCTAAGAACTTGGTGACAAAACAAGTGAAGGAAGAGGATGATATTTGTGGAATTGAGAAACTGGTGCTTGAATCTCCTGAAGTGTCTCGAGAAGAAGATAAACAAGGTAAACAATTCCTTCTTGAAACAGAATTTGAAAGGAAAGTCAGAAGTTTCACGGCAGTCCAGAAAAATATTTAGAGAGGGATTCCTTCAATCACTTTACAAGAAGTAGAGATTAAAATGTAGGGTTTGATATAATAATTTAGTAACCTGTCTATGCTTAGATATGAGAAGGAAATATGTTTATGATTTGTGCAAGACTATTGTTTATATTCTACAGTTGATAGATCAAGACAGTCAGACATGTCAACAATCATTGAAGAACCATCAATCAACTTGGACAACAGCAAAACTTTGGCACGTTCACGGCGCAGTGAGAAGTCTTTTGTGGAAAAACCAAAAGAAGTTGCTCCTGAAGAGCCAACAAATAATGCACAAGATCTGTTTGCCCAGTCCTTCAACAATGGCATTGTTGATATGCCTCCCGATCCGACGCTGGATCCAACACTTGATCCAACACTTGAACCAAGTATATCTACTGTGGACCCCACTGCCATAGATCCCAGCCTCATCGACCCCAACATGGAAGATGGGCCTCCTTCAATTGCTCCTTTCTCTGTTCCTCCTCAGTCTGTTGGGCCACCATCTGTTGCACCCCCTTCAGTTGCACCAGTGAGTTTAATAACATTTGGCATTTACACTAAGGAAACATCGCATTCTTATAAACAGCTTTTAACTCGAAACATTTCTCAAATACCTGAGAGAGTTGTCAAACCATTTTTGAATCATGGTTGTTTTGTTGGTAAATATTACCAAATAGTAACATAGTAGCCAAGCTCACGTTACAATAATGATTATCAAATTTACATCAGTCCTGTAACGTTGTTAATTTGTCTTCTCTTTCCACTCAGGCCTTTGATGACCTGGAAGCAGAGAATGAACCGATGCCTGAGAATTTGGAGCAAGAAGAGATCCGGTGGAGCAAGCGAACACAGCAAATGCAGCACACATTTGATCTGGCTTTCAGATATTCAGACTCTTTAAGCTTCAAGGACATGGCCAGACGGCATAATCGTAAACAAGCATCATCTCGTTTCTACACTTTGTTAGTGTTAAAGAAGCACCAGTGTGTTGAGGTGCAGCAGGATGAACCTTATGGTGACATTATCATCAGCAAAGGACCTAATTTTGGAATGGCTTGCTGAGACAGACACTGTACAGAAGTGTAAATATTCATGACACAGTGGTCAAGTAATATAACATTGACTTGACAGTGGATCATCAGATCATCCCCAACATTACCTGAACTGTGCTATCATTAGCAGTTACACCACTGACTGATATGCCAAGTCAATACTGCATCTCTGTCACTCATCTGTTAAAGGTTACTTTGTTGTCGGTGGCTGTGTGTTTTTGTCCAGTATTGTATAATTGTTACCTGGGTGTGTGTTTCAATGCCAGTCTGAACATTAGTGCTGGGACCTTGTCTCATGAATCCTCAAAGGTTATCTGAAGTTAATGTTCATAATAGGTAAACTATAAAGCAGCTGTTTCCAATTGAGACTGTTTTATGTTAGGACTGGTCCTAATATATTTTAAACATAGAACGTCAATTGTATTGTCGGCAAGCAATTTCAATACAAGGCATTGTGATTATTAGTGATGGAACAAGGCAAGTTTTTAAGTCATAAAGGTAACAACTATTTAATGGATCTAGGTACATCTTTCAGGGAAAGCAAAAAGGCTTTAGGAATTATTTATGATGGTATTTCTTCAGTGTCTCAAGTTAAAAATGTGCAATATTTCTAAGAAAGCAGATTACCATATGTGTTTCAAAGAAGCTAAAGACTTCAGTGATTTTGTACGTTAGAAAAAATATTTCTGTAAGTAAAGCTATGCATATTTTTAAAACATTGAAACAGATTTTTTTATTTAAGTTCTTGGTCCTCTTCTCAGCTGTTTCTTTTGTATGGATTAAGGCGACATACTACATTCTTATCATTCTTTTCATTCATTGTCATTAAACCTGAAAAAATCCAGGCAGCATTCATACAAGATGCTGGCTCACAGCAATTTTAGAGAAACATCTATATTGAAATACTACAAGCTTGTGTTCATTGTTGAAGTTTGCAAAACTTTGCAAAAGAAACCATCATATTTGTTTATCCCATATTGTAAATTCATTGCCATTTGTCATCCTATCTAGTTCCTAGTATCATTATCATTGTATAAATTTTGTTCACTTGTTCCTGGTTTAAGACTAGCATCAATCTCAATAGTTGCACTTAGCCACGTTTTTACATCACATTTCATTGGTGACTCCTGGAGTCCACTCGTGGCTTGTAGCATTTATTTTGTACAAATAAAGTCATTGAATATAACAGCTGCGTTTCTGTTTGTGAAAAGTGTCATTGCATTACAAAAGAACTTTTTCATAATGACAGTCTCTGGAATCAGAGTTTGAGATAATTATTTTTATCCCCCGCTGCGCGTTTAGCGCGAAGCATGGGATATAGTATTAGGCTCTGTCCATACGTACGAATTGGAATATCTTAAGAACCGTTCACTAGATTCTTTTCATATGTGGTACCTAGTTTCATCACAGTATAAGGAAGGTCCAACTCAGGTTTGGTGACCTTGACCTTCATTTCAAGGTCACAAGGGGACTTTAACACTTTACCTGCATGTTAAGCTATATCAAGAACCGTTCACTGGATTTTCTTCATATTTAACACCAAGTTTTAATCTAGGGAAGGCGCAGGGCCCAGTCAATTTTGGTGACCTTCACTTAATTTTCAAGGTTACAGAGACACTTTAAAGATTTCAGCATGTTAAATTGCATGTTAAGATAATCAGCAAGATATCACAAAAAATATTCAGTGGATTTTCTTCATATTTGTCACCAAGCTTCATCTAGGGAAGGCCCAGGGCCCAGTCAATTTTGGTGACCTTCACATAATTTTTAGGGTCACGACGACACTTTGAAGATTTCAGCATGTTAACCCTGAATTGTCAGGAAGATATTTTAAGAACGGTTCACTGGATTTTCTTCATAGACTTTCAAGACCACCTTGAATGTTTTTCAATAAGCAATTTCTTTAGTACTAGTTTTGCATATTTCATACACTGACATTCACGTCAAGGTCAGTGTTGAAAATACAGTGCACTCTGTCTAATTCGGACCAGCTTGGGATCGGACCGACTTAAAAGTCTGAATTATACAGTAGTCCGAAGTACACAGATTTTAATGGAGTTATCCCCCTTTGACGAGCATACGATTGTGCATGAAACACATGTTACATGAATGCATATAAAGACGAAACACTGACAAATAAGCGTTCACCGCTAGACCACGTGGTCTTGGCCAAGCGGACTTCCTGCTAAGTAAATAGGACAAAATACACAAAGCAATCAACAGATTGTTTATTCAAGGTTTATTTGCCAAGCGGACTTCCTGCTCAGTCTGAATTATATCGCAATGTTTTTACGTGTAACTACCTTATCGGGCCGACACTTTGGTCCGAAATCCGAAATAATGAGAGTCCGAGATACAGAACTTTTTTATTATGACAACAAAGAAGGATTACATCGGGACAGTGAGTTCAGTCCTGTTTAAACAGCAATCCGAGAAAGACAGTCCGAGTTTGACAGAGTGCACTGTATGTGTGTGTTTGAACAACTAAACAGCAAGATATCAAGAGAGGTTGACTGGTCATGTTTTTGTTGACATTTAACTTCATCTTACACTTTCATTACTTTATAAGTTTGATTTGATAAATTGCGGCGGGGGATTATGTCACCTTAGTGACAATGCTTGTTCTTATTAAGACATGCATTTTGAAATAAAAATACCTATCAAACTAAACATTCTGATAGGTTAATGATCTGTTGCTGTACCCATTTTGCACTGCTGTGTTTTCTGTAAAGCCATCTCCAATGATGAAAAACACTGCAGATGGTTCACGATGCATGGTTTTTGTGGGACAATATTTAAGGGTATCAAAGAAAATGTTGGACTGATATTTTGACTTCAGTTTATGCTTTTAAACAATCCCACACAAAACTTTTTTTGGATCTGTTTTATCACATCTATTCTTCATTTTGTCATAACAATTAAACAAGACAAGACATAAGAATCCCCTGCCATTCAATCATACCTTTCTACACAGATGGTTATACAGTTATACACTGCATTGTAACAGTTCTGGATACTTCCACCCTTTCAGCACAAGACAATAATTCTGATCAGAATACTGGCTTGCCTCTTGCAATATTCCGATTGTCAGGTCCTAGTCTTTGGTCTTGGAGTATCTGGCTGGAACCACCAGTGAATAACACAATGCATTGTGTGTTAAGACTTTATGTACAGTTTCACTTCTTCTGTCCAAGCTCTCTAGCTCGTAGTGTTGCCGCTTCCACTGCGTCTATCAAAGCCCCCCTGAACCCAGCCTTCTCTAGTTTATGCATGGCAGCAATAGTGGTTCCCCCAAGGGAGCAGACTTCATCTTTCAGTTGACCAGGATGTTTTCCAGACTCGAGAACCATCTTGGCAGCTCCCTGAAAATGGACAAAGTTGGTGCAAAAGAAGTCAAATACATTATCAGTCTGCAACTTCAGCCACTGTTTGGAAGACTCTAGTAGAATTCTTTTAAATCTTGTGAGCTGAACTAGTAAAAGTACAATAACAGCTAAATAAACATAAGAGTCTGCTTACAAGAGCTGTGTGTTGACAAAGTAGTTGTTTTGCATTTCAGGTAGGTGAGTGAGTTTAGTTGTACGCTGCACTCGGCAATATTCCAGCTCTATGGCGGCGGTCTGTAAATAATCGAGTCTGGACCAGACAATCCAGTGATCAACAGCATGAGCATCAATCTGCGTAATTGGGAACCGATGACGTGTCAACCAAGTCAGCTAGCCTGACCACCCAATCCCGTTAGTCGCCTCTTACGACAAGCATAGTCGCCTTTTGAGGCATGCATGGGTTGCTGAAGACCTATTCTAACCCGGATCTTCACGGGTTTGCAGTTCAGGTACCCATATCTCAATGTTTATTGTGATATAGGATTTAAGTGTTTGACAGTGACACTGATTGTACATGCAGTTCCTATCTTCTACATACTAAGGCCTTAAAGTATGTGTTATGGTTATGATAACAGCAATCACAAAATTAAGTTGGATCGTAAAGCATTCTGTTTCCTATTTCATACAAGTTCTAGTATGTGAAGTATGTTGTTTTGTCGATTACGAAGGGAAACAACAATAGGAAGATTTCTTTTAAAAAACATTAAAACATCATAACGTTAACAAAGAAATATTGCAATACTAGTATGTATCATTTGAAAAGCATATTGCAGTATACCAGCAATACAGTTGAGTCCTAATGTTTTAAGTCTTAATTTTGGTTCAGACTACTATACTTTCAACAATAACTGAAACATAAATTTGTGGTAAATAAAGTCTGAAGAGTTATCTCCCTTATGTCAACCTGCTGCTCAATGCATATTTTGGAAGGAAACTGATCTTGCAAAATTCCATGTTTTCTCAGTAGGATTCTATCCAAATCAATAAAATAGGTACTTATTAAACCAAACAGATTTGCTTCCTGTGTGTATCCAAACATAGTATCATGTAGTTGGTCACATAATGTTAAAGGTCACATGCAACCAAAAAATCAAACATAATTAAAACACAATTATCACTAATTCATGACATATAATATACATTGTTGGTATATAAACAAAATTATAAGCGTACAATCGCAAATCAAAAGTGCAATATTGTGTACTTGGGTTTACTTCCAAAGAAACGAAGCAGCCGGGATACCGAACCCAGTCAGAGCGGGTGGGTGTGCACTCAAGTGTAACGGCTGGTTCATTTGCAGATGCCCTCACGGCTCATTGTGTGTGTATATATAGAGATGTTGGGTTTTGTAAATACTTGCTCATTTTTTGTGTATAACATTTTGCAATCAACAGACATCATAACATGTCATGTGTTCAAGTATCACACCTGCCTGTCTGTGTAATTACATAATGTGACAGAGACCGAACTCGGGCCATAAATCAATGCATTTTGTTTATGGTGTATAGCCTGATTGGTGTTAAGTTCAAATTGCATGTGGTCAGTGATCGCAGTTGTGTATTGAATATTGTCATCAGCAGACAGGCAGGCAGACACACAGGTGTCAATAAAACAAGACATTGAGTTTTGTCTGTGACAACGACATATCTATATCACAGTTAGAAATTCTGTCAACGCTAAATAATGACATTGCTTTTAAGTATCGAATTGAGAAAGTGACTCAGTAAGAAGAACGTGTGGTGAAATAGACAAATGAAATTATATAAACAGTTTATTTACTGTCATAACATATAAAAAGATCGCGCCTGTGAGATATCAACAAAACATTAGGAAAATAGCTCACACCAAAGCATTCACCGGACAGCCCGCTTCCAAGTTGCGCGAACCTTTTTCACTGCGCACATGCTTTGAGCGCAGCCCAGCTGTTGAAACCACTTGAATTCCCCCAAGCGCTTGGGGAAAATTAGTGAATCGTTTGAACTCCGATTTCGAGCAGGTTTTTTCATCGCGTTATTTTTCAACTTGATAAGTTGAATTTGCATTTTTGATGATTTGTTTCGGTAAGTCCATACCGAAAGGTATCAGAATCTGCAAAGTTGTGTTTTACGTTGCATGTGACCTTTAATTTACATTATTAAAGAAGATAGAAGAAGGAAGCCTTGTTGAAACAAGCACTTCACGAGTAGTTTTGGGGCAAAGGCATTGTTCCAAACTGCATCTGAAATAATTTCCCTTTCTAATGAGTGTGATGGTCCAGTTATTTCTGTATGTTACCTGACCCTTTTGACAGCATGTATTTGTGACCACACTGGAGTTTTTGATCATCGTTTATCTTGTATTCAAGCTCTTGCCCTTGCTCTCAGTTGCATCATATATCAGTATGTTGATCTAACATTGTGGGTGTCAGAGAAGCAGTTTCTTCTGAGACTGGTCGTGGTAAGAATGAATTCGAACTACAACAACAGAAGTCTAACCAGCTACAGAATACTGGGGAGGTGCCTATTTCAGTCACCAGTGTCATGTTTTGTATATCACTGTGAAACTATTATTTCTCTGCCATAAACAAATCACACCTACATCAAATTATAATAAAAATAAGTGATATTACTATGTCGAGTCAAGTATACTCTCTCACCAACATGGTCTGTGCTGCAAGTTTCATGGCCAGGTCTCTAGGCAGCCCCATCTTCACCCCTCCGTCTGATAGGGCCTCAATTGCTGCAAATGCCTGAAAGTGTCAAGATATGCCATTACTGGCAACTAGAGTATACAGGTTTTGACGATAACATGAATGTCGATAGTTGGATCTTGATACATTTTGTTGCCTGCAAACAGTTGTCACATGAAGAGAGCTATACTGGCTCTTCAAATATGACAGAGCCTAACTTGAAAGAATGCAGAGTATACCCTTAACCAAATTAGTTGTATTGAGTACAATACTTAAGATTTCCTCTTCCTAAACTAAAAATAGAACCAACTCCTTTTAGGAAAATTGATAATAACCATTTCTGCTGAAAATAACCAATTCTTACACCAGCCATAACTTACATTAGTGGGATCTAGGCACTCCTACAACATGTTGGGACCTCTGACTGGATATTGTCCATGCCATGTCATAAGATCTTCATGTTACAATCATGTTCATTCATAACGTGATGCTCTCACAGACATTTTGTCTCAATACAGGACATTGGGTATTCATGGCAAATATATGACACTCAAGGTTCTTCAGAGGGATATTACTGTCCTACAAACATACTCATTACAATACTACAAAGAATTTACAATATAGATGAAATGTAAGCATTCTCTCATCAAGGACGTTAGTATACTGAACAGCAAAAGAAACGCAAGTTTCGAAAAAATAAAATCTCATGAAGGCAAGCATTCATGTTTATGGAACGTTCATGGTAAAGTGACGTAATGATCCCAGATGAGATGATGTCATGCAATTTGACGTCCAAATGACCTTCATTTCAAGGTCACAAGGTCACTTTAACGTTAAACCCTTGTCAGCGAGATATCTCAAGAACCGTTCACTGTTTTATCTTCATTTTCAACATCAAGCTTTATCTAGGGATGGCACAGGGCCCAGTCGATTTGGTGACCTTCACATAATTTTCAAGGTCACAGCGACACTTTGAAGATTTCAGCATGTTAAGCTGCATGTTAAGCTTGTCAGCAAGATATCTCGAGAACCTTTCTCTGGATTTTCTTCATATTCAACACCTTGCTGTATCCAGGGAAGGTGCAGGGCCCAGTTGATTTTGGTAACTTCACATAATTTTCAAGGTCATGGCGACACTTTGAAGATTTCAGCATGTTAAACTGCATGTTAAGATTGTCAGCGAGATATCTCAAGAACAGTTCACTAGATTTTCTTCATAGACTTCCCTTGAATGTTTTTCAATAAGCAATTTCTTTATTACTATTCTTGTATATTTCATACACTAAGACATTCATGTCAAGGTCAAATTGAGTCTTGAAAATATTTGTGCATTTGAACAACTACAGAGCAAGATATCAAGAGAGGTTGACTGGTCATGTTTTTGTTGACATTTAACTTCATCTTAAATTACTATCTTCACTTTCATTACTTTTTAAGTTTGATTTGATAATTTGCTGCGCGGGGTTTATGTCACCTTAGTGACAATGCTTGTTTTGATAGAAAATTGAAAAGAATCCCCAGTGAGCTTGCACATTTGCAGGCTTACCAAAGAAATCTTTCTCACTGTGCAGAAAAACGCAGGAAATTCCACATTAATTGTGGAAATAGCAACATAAACATATTCCCTTGCTACTGAAACAGTAAAAACAGCAATGAAAGACTATGAAACTGCAACATTTTTATGTCAGCGAACTTGGACCTCTACTGCGCATGCACATTAGGATCTGTGCAGCTTTCAAATTTCCGAACAATCACGTAATCGCCTTGCGTAGAATAAGTATTGAATATGTCGAAATAATTGCTTTTTATCATTTCATACGAATGGAAAGTAAACTAAACAAGTGTGCACACAAGTATGATGATGATAAATGCCAAATAACACAACAGAAATACTTCAAATAGGGAATGTAACTTTTGTCCAAGCTGGAAAATGTCAACATGCGGTCAAGACGTCCTCTTCTATGTGTGCATGCGCAAAATTGAAGTTGCAGGCTCTTCGTTTTTTTATCCAGTTTTAGCGATTTAAAGTTACCGTTTTTACTGTTTCAGTAGCGAGGTGTTATGTTTATGTTGCTATTTCCACGATTAATGTGGACTATTCAGCTTTTTCTGCACAGTGGGAAAGTTTTCTTTGGTAGGCCTGATTTGCACCTCAGGAATTCTAGACTTGCCTCATTTAGGGCATTTGCAGTGCAAAAATTGTTTGGCGGAAGGGAAAATAATGAGGTTCAGGGACCATGAGACTGACTTATACAGACCCCAACCAGCCTCTGTTAATAAGCTCTCTCCACCTACATATGCTGGTCCGCTGCCACTGACTCCTGTTACAACATCAAGCAGCATCTCCTGGCTCTCCTCACACAGCCCGACGCTGTTCATCAGCGCTGTCACCATTGACGTGTCCCCCTCCTCCACTGCGGACCCTCGTGACACCACTGCTGCACCAGCCCTCACCAAGGCTGGTGTGTTGGGCATCACACGCAGCACTCGGGTTCCTTTTGGCAAATTCTGAAATTGGAAAGATCTTAATCAGCAATGAGCTTGCTCCACTCGGTGAGTCAGCTGACAAATTCAAGTAAATCACCACAGCAACCTTTTCCTCAGTTATGATAGTGTAAACCTTTTCACTAGTGTCTCTATCGAAGAAACCATCCAGATCCCCTGCCACTGCATCACCGACCTAAGCACCAGCCTCTCCCTAGATACCATCATCACCTTTTCCTCCACCTGCATCACCACTACTTCACCTAGGGACATGACAACTATGAGCAGATTCACTGCCGCTCATGGGTTGCCCCATCATCAATTTTCTTTGAAATCCAAATGACATTCATTGAAAAGCAAGCCCTCATCACCTCTTCTATCAAACCTATCGGCTGGTACAGGCAAGTTGATAGACTAACGCTTAGTATCTGAATATAGATAATTTTGATTGTAACAAATAAAAGGAGACCAGAGATTCAGAACCTGGGCTTGCTTCATTTAGGGCTTTTGCAGGAGGGCTAGGCTGCAGGGTAAATAATATGGTTCAGGGACTGAGACAGACTAGCAAGTTGATGATAATTTGTAATTCTACAACAAGACCTAGCCATCCTCCTGCAACATCTTAACCAGCAGCACCTGTGTATCCAGTTCACCATAGAAACAGACGGGGATAGCCAACTTCTACTTCTAGTGACCAGATCCAAACAGATGACAACAGAAAAGGTCCCAGGGATTTTCTACAGAATTGCCCGGGTCCAGGGGATTTTCTGAGGAATAGCCCTTGACTTTGAATTATTTTACATGGACAAGTTTTGAATTCAATCGTAAAATATCACATTATAGAAAACTTCCAATATATTGTGCTGATGCCTGGTTTCAAACCTGCAACCCTTACAAGCTTGGTGGTTTTATCCACTAGGCTATGAAGGATCGCTGTGAAGAATGAGATTGTTTGTCAGTATGAATCATATATGTGTTCCTCAAGACGGGTAGTGCGAGAAGCGCACGTGCAGGACACAGGTAGCACGTGCTTCGTGCGTGCAAGGTGAGGTCAGGGCTGCCAGTCACATCCCAATTGATTTCAACAGTAAATACCAAATACTTAAATTATATGTAAAGTATATCTTCGGTCGGTTCATAAGTTTGATCATAACCGGTTTTGATCCTTCACATCTCTCCTCTACCACCCCTCCACAGAAAAGCAGCACCTTTGCCAGGTTCTGACCCAGTTCAATCACCACCACCCCTCATCAGTAGCACCCTTCACCCAGCAAGTAAACTGACCAACAAATCCAAACCAGCACCAGTCCATATTTCTCTCCCCTCCAGGGGAAAGACCTCCAGCACATCAGCTATCTCCTGAAGTGACAAGCTGACAGCAGCTGTAAGCTCTTTAAACCTTACTCAAAACCAATGGCAGGAAGACCACAAAACTGCAAGAACCCAGAGGGGTTGTCTACAATATCACTTGTGACTGTGGCGAGACCTATGTAAGTGAAACATCCCGTCCCATAAACGTTAAAGTACATTAGTAGTATACACAATGGGGCTACGGAACCAGGTCCCTCCCAAGGGCTGAATTTAAGAATTGAGGAGTCCCTAATCCCGTAGCCCGATTGTGTATACTACTACTGAGGTGCATGCAAAATTTGATGAAAATCGGTCGAATAATTTCTGAAATATTGACTTTTAAGTGAGCATGGAGTCGGTCGGGAAAAGGCAAATGTCCAACTTTTTGTCATCATTAAGTCTTAATTAATCTAATGAAGTCATCGAGAGTGTTCCCAATGCCGTTTTGCTTTAGCGTAACCATCTGTCGAGATGCACACAAAATTTCACGAAAATCGGTCAAATAGTTTAGGAAATAATCGCTTTTTAGTGAGCATGGGGACGGTCTGGCGAAAGGCTAACAATCCAACATATTTCGCGGTTTTGACAGTTTGTCGTCTTTGATGTCGACAAGGTCTATGTTGTACGTTTTCATTGACCATATCGGATCAGGATCGGAGACAGTTTTCTGCTGTCTCCCTCGTATTCTCCCGGCTGGTACAAGTACCTAACGCTGACCCGGTCCGGTAATGTTTTCTCTGTTTATATCGGGACGTGCAGCTGCCGACGACGATTCGACAGATTTCATTTTGATGGCTTCGACGGGTCTCTTGCCCACGAGTCTGGTGACTTGGTTGTTGATGGTATCCACCACTCGCGGTAAGCGTACGACCCATTCCGTGTTTCTGTTTTTTGGATCCATTAAATCCTGTGAGTACTGATGTGAGAACAGACGTTCGGGTAAGGTGCGATTGAATCTCTCGACTATGGCTTGGCTTTGGTGAGCTCCCGCCACACCTCGTCTCACCTGGACTTTGTACTTGGCCAGCAGTTGTGACACAGCTCCCATGAACTCGCGTCCAGGATCGATTTGCAATACGGCAGGCCAGGTCAAGCGACTGTGTTTGAATATGCTTTGGCGACTTCGTTCAAATCTTTGGTTGTCAACGGTTCGGCTTCCTTGTAGCGACTGGCGACGTCGACAACTGTCAGTGCGTACTTGAAGGTTTTACACTTCACCCTGTCGTGGGGGAGAAACAGGAGGTCGGCTTGGAGAACGCGATTCGGCGTTGAAATGTCGAATTTTCTTCTCGGGATGTACCAAAGCGCAGTCAGGTAGACTTGCCAGATGGCTTGTTTTTTAAGCCAAGCTTTGGCTTTCTCTGCCGGGATGGCGTCCGCGCCTTTCCAGTACCTGCATGGGCTGTAATAAATTTTCTCCATGATATATGTACACATGTGTGCGTAAGCGTTCAATTATTTGATACGCGTTTGTGTCCATACGCGTAAGTGGTGACTCAGTCGATGGCGATACATCGTTTCGTGTCCATGGGAGACAGCGAGGTCTTGTTGATTCTCAGTCCGTATATCCTGTGTCCGTCGCTTCTCAGCATGTTCATTTGGTGTTTGAACGTTTTATTCTTGAACAGGGCTTCCTTGAATCTGGCGTGCTTGATGTGTTTTTTCACCACGTGTTTTTTTCACGCCTTTCAGATTTCGGCGTGCCCGCGCGATTCGTCCTTCATTTTGCCGAGCACTTTTTGCCGACTTGGCTGTGCATAGGGTGATCTTTAGGGTAGTCGCTGGTGTCGTACAGGTGCATGTGTTTCTTCATGTCCTTGTACACGTCCTCGGTGTGAATTTCCATCAGCAGGGAATCTGTGTCCGTGTACAGCACTTTACACCTGTCACCGTACTGCTTTTTCAGCTCGTAGTAGAAATCGTACATCAAGTGTTTGGATAAGTCGAGGATGCTCATCCCCACATAAACGGGCCGGTTTAATCTGATGTGGCTTTTGCTCATGTGCAGCGCTGCCAAGTCGTCGTCGAATATCTTGCTTCGGTTGAACACCGGGCTGGCTATGAGTTTCCTGAGTTTTTCTTCCTCGCTGGATCTGACTGATTTCACGTTAACGCGTTTTCTCAAATTCTCCATCGTCTTGCCGAACACCGAGTTGTTCATGAGCTAGTACAAGTTTTTTCTAAGTCGCTCGTGGCTTGTTTTCGCAGATTCGTGTTCAACCGAATGTAAGGTTCCATCCATGTACTTTGATCGAACTGGAGCGCCCTGTGTATTTTCGTGAGTTTCATTCCCAGCGACAAGTACAGCTGCAGATTGCGATAGTGAACGACGTATTTTGACTTGTTCATCAAGTTCGGCATGAGTTTTTCAACGTTAGCCAGCTTATTGTCTCCCAGCAAGTTTCGTTGATATTCAGACATCAAGTCCAGGTTCATCGTCAATCGAGTGGATAGCTGTTGTGCGATTCGTGTAGTTCTGTGGGATAGTCCAAGTCCACTCCGCGCATGTAGCCTTTGTTCGAATCTGGCGCGATGCTATTCACGTCAATCATCTCGGGAGAGTTGACCCATTCGAATCCCCCGGTGGGGAGATACTGACTCATGGCCCAGCCGTACAGGTTGTTGGCGTTGAGAATCTGAGATGTGTTTTGTCAGTTTGCCGGGGTCGTGACCCGGAAAGTACTTGTTGTTGGCTTTGGCATATCGTTTGGAGGCCATGGAAATCCCACCTCACAAGCCTTTCTCAACGAACAGGTGCATGTTGTAATACGTCAGTAGTTTCAGCTCCACACTGGTCTTTTTCAACAAGGCGTCCCAAGAGAGACCGGGGGATGAGAAATACCACGTGGGGTCCAGGCCGTACTGTTTCGAACACGTTTTTCTGAACACGTCGGCCAGCAGCAGCACATCCATTTTCAATTACAGGTCGTGGTAATCGCCCAAATTCTTGCAGTCCAGTTTGTCCCACACGTTAATCGCGTGCACGTAATCGTCCTGAGAGATATTGGAATCGGTCAAGTTGCTGTAAAAGCGGTCAATGGGAGGTAATCACGTCTCATCGAACTTAGACCAATTGTCCATGTACTTGTAGGGGTAGACGCCCTTCCTCAGCAGCAGAGGTCGAGTCTCGGCGTTGGTGTATCGATTGGTGATGTTGAATTCGTCCGGGTCGTTGGTGTTCACCAGACTGTCTAGAGACAACAGCAGGAACTGAACGCTATCGATAAATCACAGACTGTCAAATGAGAACGAGATGTAATTTTCCATGTTGTTGGGGATGCACATTATGTCAGGTGAGAATCGTAACCGCGAAGATTGTAAAACACGACGGGGATTTTGAAGGTCTTGGGATCGATTTTGAGCTTCAAGTTGCACACGTTGTGAGCGGCACCTCTGTACTTGCCGTCGATGTGGCAGTTACCCCTCACGACATCCCCGTTCAGGGGTTCGTCGCATACGTGGCAATTCTTAGCTTTTTTATGAGTTCGCCAGTCGTCTTGGGTCATGCGCATGGGGACGATGGTGTACAACTGTTTTCTGATAATTTTCTCTTTGTTTTGCAAACACATGAGAAATCCTTCGGCCGCGTCGGGACCTCGGCAGACCACGGGAGCGTTCATTTCCCCGTCGAATTAAACGACCACGTAACCGAACCCGCAGGCTTTGTGTTCTTGCATTTTATGCGTGAAACTTTTTTCCGGGGACGACGGCGCAACAGTGTCGACGGTTTTGATGAGCAGGGGTGGAAATAACTGTAAAATTGCTAGTGTACTCCGGTACAGTGGCACATGAATCACTTGCCCTGATCATTTTCCCACTATGCCGGCCGTTTTCTTGTTATTTTTTTAAATAAACAACATTATTAACATTAGAAAGTCAACTGGACACTGGTACAGCGTGATATACAAATTTGCTTGCCCGACAGAAAAAAACACTGGACTCGGACGTCGGGCAATGGGTTATTTTCACCCCTGATGAGGGCTTCGAAGTCGGCGTAGATGATGTAGGGCACGGGCATTTGATGTTTGTGGTTGAAGAATTTTAGCGTGTTTTTCTTTTCGTCGGGCATGTCTATTCGGATGGCCGTCTCTCCGATTGGATTCCAGCAGGTCGGCTCACGCGAAACCGTGCAGGCACCTTTCACAGAAGTGTTTCTTTTCCTTATGCTTCGATTGATCGATTGATCAACAGTCTGTTGAAATATTTTATCCACGTATAGTGATAATTGTCACCTTCCTGGAACATGAATATATTGATCGTCTTGCGCTGTTCGTTTGTGAGGGAGCTGATCCTGTGCACGGTCGTTTTATTCCCTTCGTTTTTCGAAGATATTGATGGCTATGTCGTCGTTCTGTTTTTCAATTTTGGTGACTTGGGAGATGGGGGTGGGTTCGTCTATGCCGTCCCAGTTGATCCCATTGTCTATGGGATAGCTCGAAAGTCTGTCTGAATGTGCTTTGGCCAGAAACTTCGCGGATCTGATCGCAATCCTCATGCAATCATCGCCTTTGTTTTTGACGTTGACCATGGCTTGCTTTTTCTTGTAGTACGGTGGCAAGTCTAGGTACGACCATCCTTTGAACGGTATGCCGTTGTCGATGCGATATCCGCTGCTGTGTAGTCTGTCGTCGTCCATGGATCGCATGTTCAGCCACAGTGTGTAATACCTATACAGGTACTTATGATGCGTCACGTAGGGTAAACCCAGGTCTTTGACGACGTCGTTGACTTCCGGCGAGTGTCGCTTGATGGCAGGTAGTTTTCTTATCTCGTCCCACTGCTGGTAAGCTCGCATTATGCCTTGACTGAACAGCTGGTTGGGCACGCCCTCGACGGTCACTTCCACTTTCGTGATCTCGTGATTCCAAGTGAGTTCGCTTTCTCTTTGAAACAGCTCGATTTCCGACACGGGAATGATCAAAATGCCTTTCATCAATCGAGCCGGCACATTCAGGTTGATGTTCCACAACGTGTCACTCTTGTCCTTGACGATCGTCCGGTGCCAAAGCACGGATCGTACAGGATGGACAGCTTTCCCGAGAACTGGGTGCGAATCTGCCGGGCCAGTTCCGAGCTCGTGACCATGTCGAATTCCAGAGAGATGTTGTTGATGACGAAGCTGGCCTCGGTGCCGTCCACTGTGAAGATAACTTTGCCGTAGTCGTTGAACGTGAGTTCGTAATCCAGCCTGTCGCCCAGCGCTGCCTGGTAAAACGGCATGTGCCCGTCGTGCAGCTCAAAGTCGAGCAGTATGCAAAACCGATTCCCGTACGCCGAGGCGACAGCTTTTTCTCCTGTCATTATATTGCCGAGCTGGTCTTGATCGTAACTGTACCCCACACGTAGGTTGTTCGATTGGTTGTTATCACGACAAATTCCAGAAATCGCAAAATATCACAGAATGAAACAACAGATTCGGACCAAGTCTCGTAAAAACGCCGTCATTTGCGAAGACGAGAAAAACAATTCATAGAACAAGGTAAGCAACAGGCCCGAAAAGCCTTCATTACGACAACCAAACAAATCATAGGAGATTCACAATAAACTGTTTAGCGGACATCAACATAACGTGGCCAGCCATCTCAGTGAGCTGTAGGTAAATAGCCAAGCCGAGACACTAGCTCAATGCTACCGAGACGGCAGTGAGTCGACCCAGGGGAACTGCCGAGAGATGCGGTATGATTTAGTGGAAATCAACATAACATTGCCAGCCAGCTAGCCAGTCGGCTGTACAGGCCAAGCCGAGCCACACACTGCGACTTCGCCTACAGCGCTCGCTCGGTGATACAGAGACGACAACCCGGGGGGAAACTGCCAAGAGTTGCGTTTCATTCACTTTCAGACATCTGTAGCCTCGCTAGTCAGCCGGCTGTGCATCATCATAGCCGAGCCTAGAGACACATGCGCACACACACTTATACTCATCCGAGACGGTAGCGAGGTGATGACTGCCGAGACCTGCGTTTCATTCAGCTAAAAACACCTCTCGCCTCGATAATATATAACAAGTACGACAATGCGTTGGATTGTTAGCCTTTTTCGCCAGACCGACCCCATGCTCACTAAAAAGCGATGATTTCCTAAACTATTTGACCGATTTTCGTGAAATTTTGCATGCATCTCGGCAGATGGTTACGCTATAGCAAAACGGCATTGGGAACACTCTCGATGACTTCATTAGATTAATTAAAACATAATTATGACAAAAAGTTGGATATTTTGCCTTTTCCCGACCGACCCAATGCTCACTTAAAAGTCAATATTTCAGAAACTATTCGACCGATTTTCATCAAATTTTGCATGCACCTCAGTAGTAGTATACACAATGGGGCTACGGGATTAGGGACTCCCCCTTGGGAGGGACCTGGTCCCGTAGCCCCATTGTGTATACTACTACATTTAACATCTACCAGCAAACAAGAATGAAAATCAGCCATTCACATCAAAAACTGCCCCAACCAGAACATCAACCCGGGCAATCTAGAAACATAAAAAAACACAGGACTTCACCAAAAGAAAACTGAGTCATGCAGTTCAAATCTAGCAACACATGCCCTCAGACCATCAACAGACTAAGGATATCTTATCCCATCTACCTACAATGAACTGGGGGCGGTGGGGTTCCCCTTAATGGTTAAAGCGTTGGCTCGTCACACCGAAGACCCGGGTTCGAATCCCCACATGGGTACAATGTGTGAAGCCCATTTCTGGTGTCAATATGTTGCTGGAATATTGCTAAAAGCGGCGTAAAACCAAACTCAGTCAGTCAGTCAGTACAATGAACTGATAAAAAAACCAGCTCCAGCCATCATCACTAATTAATCTTATCAGCTGTGTATATTTTGTTCTACCTCACACACAGTTGGCTTCTTCCAGTTGTTACTGCATTAATTACCAATATGTTTTGTTACTATCACGTTTTTTGTGTGTAAAATCCTATTAGATGTCAGTTCTGTACTGTAGTCCTTCACTCTGCTTGACAACAGCATAATAGTGTTGGGAATTGGTTAAAATCTTATAATTGATGATCGGTTCATTACAACCAATCAATCATCAAAAATAGTTGGTAAGCGTTATTTATCAAATTGTCTTGGTTATATTTGTTAATGCACACAAATTTTTTTTTTAAAAATGTAGTTCTTTCGGTTGTTTTGGCAAATTTCGTGTCTTTAAAGGATAGCTAATATGTTAGGAACATAAATTTCCTGGAGTCTTCAAGATAAATTTTAACCATGACTTGGAACGAGCTTGTATTGCTTATGAAACGCAACAAACAAAACCAACCTTGTGATAAATATTGTCAATGCAAACAATTGTTCCAAAATTGTTTGTGTTCGATTATGACAAAATGTGATCGATTGCTTCGTCGTTTAGTCATTACGACCAATCTTCGATTATTTCAATCAATTGGACCACCACTACAGCATTACAGTCTATACCGAAATATCGCATCATAATATAATAAAGAAGTTAAAAGGTGAGAATTTATGGATGTCAACTTCTTGTGTCCCCATAATGAAGAAGTTGACATCCAAAAATTCTCACTTTTTATGTGTATCAGGTCTAAATGCCATTCAAAGACTTTATAAAGAAGTTGTCATCCATGAAGTGTCCTACGTTCCTTACCCTATTGGTCAAATTCCACATATAAGACGTCGTCATACGAGCGAAATATTCTCAAGCACGTCGTAAAACCCAATTTCACCTCACCTCACATATAAGACACCAACATGTTCTGACACAGAGTTCGATCTCAAACTGTTTTTGGCACTATTTCACCTTTGTGACAGAGTGTAGAATTATGTCAGTGCAGATATACGGACAGACCAAGGATCATAATTGTGTTTAATCCCTAACTCAGGCCCATCAGAAATCCAACAGTTCTATAGTAGATTTAATGTGAAGACATTCTGGACATAAACTAGTTTGGTAAAGTCAAACTCACTTGACACTCACCTCCTTTATGGTCCTCAGTGGGGTTCCTAGGTGAGAAATTCCACACTAGCAAACTATTCAGTGTTTGAACAGCATTTAGAAGTGATGCACACAAAGGCAAGAATATATGGATCTCAACTTATTTATTTTGATTGACATGACATTTCTGAGTATATTCTCACTCCATCATCAGGTGAGTGAGTGAGTTAATATTTAACGTCACACCGGCAATATCGCAGCCATATCGTGACAAAAACAATTTATACAATAAAAAGTGAAATGAGAACATTTGCCATTGAAATGGAATATAGGTACGTTATAAAAACCTGTCGACGAAGGACAGTAAAACAACTAGAATATCACAATTACAACAATTACAACTAAAACTAGTGTGGAGAGTTAAGACTGATAGCACTATTTGGACAATACAATACATCATCAGGTGAATGTGAAGGAGTAAGAATATACTCTGAAATGTCGTGTCCATCAAAATAAAGAAGTTAACATCCATTAATTCTTGCCTTAACGAACTATTCTTGGCACGAATGAGTATTGTCTGGTAAGGCTTGTTGATTTGGTTGAGAGTGTCATCATGCCCAGACTGCAAGGATCATTGCTTACAGCACCAATCACTGGATTGTCTGGTCAAGAACTCAAGTTATGACAATAAATCAATATATACATATATAGCATCTAGTGATGAGTTCAGCAACAAACAAACCTGCTCTATTGTAGATATTGAGATTCCACTTGCTATGGACATGAACAGATTGTTCTGAGACACAACAGGTGAGACTTCTTTCAAAACGGGTTCAACGACTTGCGGCTTAACAGCGATGACAACCAAACTGCTGCGACTGACAATCTCTTTGTTGTCTCTTGTTACAGCCACACCAAGCTCCTGTAATATAGGGCACATAGAAACTGAAATTAGTATTTATTACACTTTTGTATCTTCTTGTTATAGTATTAGGTTCCGTCCGCACGTATGAATTGGAATATCTTAAGAACTGTTCACTAGATTGTTTTCATATTTGGTACCTAGGTTCATCACAGTATAAAAAAGGTCCAAGTCAGATTTGGTGACCTTGACCTTCATTTCAAGGTCACAAGGGGACTTTACGTTTTTCCTGCATGTTAAGCTATCTCAAGAACCGTTCACTGGATTTTCTTCATATTCAATATCAAGCTTTATCTAGGGAAGGCGCAGGGCCCAGGCGATTTTGGTGACCTTCACATAATTTTCAAGGTCATGGCGACACTTTGAAGATTTCAGCATGTTAAGCTATCTCAAGAACCGTTCCCTGGATTTTCCTTGAATGTTTTTCAATAAGCAATTTCTTTACTACAACACAGTGTGAATACTTTCACTTGAATGTTTTTAACAATTTCTTTACTACTGCATATTTCATACACTATGACATTCATGTCAAGGTCAAAGTCGTCTTGAAAGTATTTGGCTTGAACAAAAAACATTTGATGCTGTGATTTGATTGTGCGGTTGGTGATTATGTCACCTTAGTGACAATGCAACAACTATGGCCATGGTGCTCACTTTATCTACAGCCCCATGAAAATCTGGGTTTGAATTGGTTTTCAGCAATCCCATGCTTGTCGAAAAACCCCAGAGGCTGTGATTTGATTGGACTAACGGGATCAGGTGGTGAGGCTCACTGACTTGGTTGACACATGTCATCGTAACACAAATGCATAGATTGATGCTATTGATGTTGATCACTGGATTGTCTGGTACAGACTCGATTATTTACAGACCACCACCTTATAGGTGGAATATTGCTGAGAGTGGCATTATACAACAAACATAACAAACAAACACTCTGTCTAGAACTTTCTGATCCAGACCTCATGTCTTCAGAATCTGGAAGGCCAAGGTTTTGAAGCAATAGCATAAGACCATGAGTTCTACTCCTGACATGAGAGCAATTAATAAAGCCCATTCTTGCTGTCACCCGACATATGATATAACTAACAGTGGTGTAAACTTCATCTTTCTCACCTTTATACAGTTGAGGGACTTCGGATCAGGGTCACTAGCTCTGATATTGCCTGCTCGAACCAGTCCTGCAATCAGGGAATCTCAAACTTTAGTTTCTAATACATGGTTCCAATTGGTAGTAGTTGATTTTTTAACAAATGTCCAGAAAAATTAATATCCTCCTTTAATCAAGCGTATTATGTTGCCACCACATAACAATATGTTGCCACCACCATTCTGTGTAGATGCTAAAACTATTATCAAGCAAGTGATGATCATTTGCTTGATAACAGTGTTAGCATCTATACCGAAACATTACATTAATAACAATACAGAAGTTGTATATCCGTAGAAGCTGTGGGCACTGGTGTAGGCTAGTGGTTAAAGCTCGTCGCACTGAAGACCAGGGTTTGATTCCCCACATGGGTACAATGTGTGAAGCCCATTTATCGACTGTCCCCTGCTGTGATATTGCTGGAACATTGCTAAAAGCAGCGTTTAACCAAAACTCACTCTATAGAGGTTTCCCCATTTTTCAAGTCTATTCACAGTTGAATCAAGTATGCATGAAGAAATGCCTCGCAGATTTAAGTTGATTCCCAGATTTGCAAAGCATGTGTACCTTCTACAGGGTGTGAAAGATATTTGTCAAATCTTTTCATGTTTTCAGTGAAGGTGCCAAAGTAATTTTAAGCACTTCAAGATATAAAACATTTTCATTACTGATGAAATTGTTTTGACTGTATGCTGCCAGTTTCTTTGAAGCAAATACAAGCACTATGATATGTGGTATACTATATACAATACAGTGTCAGAGATAGCAGACAGGTATCACAAAGGACAACTCTCCACATCAACATGATCAAGGTGCAGAGCTCACAAAATCCAAGCCTAAGTGAAATTCAGAAGTCATGAAACAAGATGGTTGCAACCTGCCAGTGGAAATCCCACTTCTGTTTGCATGAAGTATGAGCTAACCTTGAAGACCTATACTCTCTGGGACCCTTTGCTAGGTGATTGTGACCCAATTTCTTGGGAACTTGGGATAGTAGAGTTGGTGGGTGAGAGGGCAGGTTGAGGATTCCAGAAGTGGCAGAAACTGAAGCGAAGTTGACCATTTGAATACTTGCATACTGGAGTGAGTGTTATAAGTTTTATCCTGCTATGAGCAATATTCCAGTAATACCACAGGAGGGGTTGTCAGAAATGGGCTTCCATTGTACCCATGTTGGGAATGGAACCCAAGTCTTCAGCATGACCCTCATGCACACAAGTAGAAACAAGTACATAAAGTTCCAGCGGTTTCCGGGCAGATGATGTTTACAGTACAGCAATTACATTTAGTTGCATCATCAATTCAAAGGCAAAATGTATAATACTGAAAGGAATGTAACACCCATGTTGAGCCCCACTACTAACTGCATGTGCGAAAATCTTTACAGTTCAACAAAAACAATTTATTAAGCCATAATGTTACATGTCAAATGAAAAATCAACTACTAAGTACTATATACCATAAATCAGTCTATAACATAATATGTCATACACCAAAGTATTTACTTGGCATGTTAATGTTTGTCTGGCCAACATAATGTCACATATTGTCCAGCTGTAGCAGGTCACAGAGAAATTAATTGTGCATAACTAGACTGTGTAGACAGACAATCAATATTTCCTGAAAGCCACCACTGTACTCAACAGACTGTCAACGGTTTCATCATCCAGGCGTCACGCAGTTGACTGACCTGGAAAACATTCCTTTTCAAATTCTTGTTATGATGCAATCTGTTCAGTGTGATGGGTTGAAGGAGTGTACAGCTTCATCAGTGACGATATTCTTGAAATCATTTTGAAAATCTAGAGCTACATTGGTAAAATACAGAATACTGCTGCTTACATACCAGTCACCAGCGCTACATGTCTATATTATAGCATACCAGTCTCCAGCGCTACATCTCTATATTATAGCATACCAGTCTCGAGCGCTACATCTCTATATTATAGCATACCAGTCACCAGCGCTACATCTCTATATTATAGCATACCAGTCACCAGCGCTACATCTCTATATTATAGCATACCAGTCTCCAGCACTACATGTCTATATTATAGCATACCAGTCACCAGCGCTACATCTCTATATTATAGCATACCAGTCACCAGCGCTACATCTCTATATTATAGCAAACCAGTCTCCAGCGCAACATCTCTATATTATAGCATACCAGTCACAAGCGCTACATCTCTATATTATAGCATACCAGTCACCAGCGCTACATCTCTATATTATAGCATACCAGTCACCAGCGCTACATCTCTATATTATAGCATACCAGTATCCAGTGCTACATATCTATATTATAGCATACCAGTCACCAGCACTACATCTCTATATTATAACATACCAGTCTCCAGCACTACATCTCTATATTATAGCATACCAGTCACCAGCGCTACATCTCTATATTATAGCATACCAGTCTCCAGCGCTACATCTCTATATTATAGCTACCAGTCTCCAGCGCTACATCTCTATATTATAGCATACCAGTCTCCAGCGCTACATCTCTATATTATAGCATACCAGTATCCAGCGCTACATCTCTATATTATAGCATACCAGTCACCAGCGCTACATCTCTATATTATAGCATACCAGTCACCAGCGCTACATCTCTATATTACAGCATACCAGTCTCCAGAGCTACATGTCTATATTATAGCATACCAGTCTCCAGCGCTACATCTCTATATTATAGCATACCAGTCACCAGCGCTACATGTCTATATTATAGCATACCAGTCTCCAGCGTTACATCTCTATATTATAGCATACCAGTATCCAGCGCTACATCTCGATATTATAGCATACCAGTCACCAGCGCTACATCTCTATATTATAGCATACCAGTCACCAGCGCTACATCTCTATATTATAGCATACCAGTCACCAGCACTACATATCTATATTATAGCATACCAGTCTCCAGCGCTACATCTCTATATTATAGCATACCAGTCTCCAGCGTTACATCACTATATTATAGCATACCAGTCTCCAGCGCTACATCTCTATATTATAGCATACCAGTCTCCAGCGCTACATCACTATATTATAGCATACCAGTCTCCAGCGCTACATCTCTATATTATAGCATACCAGTCACCAGCGCTACATCTCTATATTATAGCATACCAGTCACCAGCGCTACATCTCTATATTATAGCATACCAGTCTCCAGCGCTACATCTCTATATTATAGCATACCAGTATCCAGCGCTACATCTCTATATTATAGCATACCAGTCACCAGCGCTACATCTCTATATTATAGCATACCAGTCACCAGCGCTACATCTCTATATTACAGCATACCAGTCTCCAGCGCTACATGTCTATATTATAGCATACCAGTCTCCAGCGCTACATCTCTATATTATAGCATACCAGTCACCAGCGCTACATGTCTATATTATAGCATACCAGTCACCAGCTACATCTCGATATTATAGCATACCAGTATCCAGCGCCACATCTCGATATTATAGCATACCAGTCACCAGCTACATCTCTATATTATAGCATACCAGTCACCAGCTACATCTCTATATTATAGCATACCAGTCACCAGCCACATCTCTATATTATAGCATACCAGTCACCAGCTTACATCTCTATATTATAGCATACCAGTCACCAGCGCTACATCTCTATATTATAGCATACCAGTCTCCAGCTACATATCTATATTATAGCATACAAGTCTCCAGCTACATCTCTATATTATAGCATACCAGTCTCCAGCTACATCACTATATTATAGCATACCAGTCTCCAGCTACATCTCTATATTATAGCATACCAGTCACCAGCTACATCACTATATTATAGCATACCAGTCACCAGCTTACATCTCTATATTATAGCATACCAGTCACCAGCTACATCTCTATATTATAGCATACCAGTCACCAGCGCTACATCTCTATATTATAGCATACCAGTCACCACCAGCGCTAGCATCTCTATATTATAGCATACCAGTCACCAGCGCTACATCTCTATATTATAGCATACCAGTCTCCAGCGTTACATCTCTATATTATAGCATACCAGTCTCCAGCGCTACATCTCTATATTATAGCATACCAGTCTCCAGCGCTACATCTCTATATTATAGCATACCAGTCACCAGCGCTACATCTCTATATTATAGCAGCCTTCAATTACAGAATGATACACCCTGGTGGAAATCCAAAGTATTTACCATTCAACTAAACCATAAACAAACATCACTGCACATACAAAATCAGAATTTATATTTAACCATTCAACTTGAAATTCGGGGCGATGGGGTTGCCTAGTGGTTAAAGCATTCCCTCGTCTCCTGGGTTTTTCGATTCCCCACATGGGTACAATGTGTGAAGCCCATTTCTGGTGTCCCCTACTGTGATATTGCTGTAATATTGCTAAAAGCAGCATAAAACTAAACTCACTCACTCATTCAACTTGAAATTCAGATTTTGGAAATATCAAATAATCATAAAAGCATTAATGTGGAATATATTGAAATACGCATTATGTGTGGGACTAATTGACAGGCGGGAAGAAATTAGTTACAGGCAAAGATATGTGATGAAAAACCAAGTTATTCTCAGCACTAACATATTCCACATGGACAATTACCAACTTTGTAACAATGGAGGTTTTAAGAATGTATGAGGGACTGAAAGTGTTTGTTGTTTCAAAAATCAAAACTAGGTCAGTAAACACTGTTTAATTTAAAGATATATCAAATTTAAAGATAATATTGTAAAAATCTGGGCACACTTTTGTATAAGTATTTGTGTCACTGTTATTGGTGAAAGATGTTAATATGGCTGGATCCTGTAATCTTCTTCAGGTCTTCCTTTCAGCGTTTATATTTGGCCAGATCCATAATGATCACAGACAAGTTTATAATACAAGGGCTATATCTAACTCCTGTGACTATGTGGAGAGGAGGCTTCTCTTACTTGGACAGAGCTCAGATAAGATTTAGCTCATGTGGGTACTGTACCCACTGTATTTTTTTTGAGTGGGTATTATGAATGTTGAGTGGGTATTTCATTTTCCGTTACCCACAGCTTTCAAATATGTGCGTATTTCAGTCATTTTACTCACCTAAGTATTATGTCATTGAGTAAGTTTACTAAGCAGGTATGTTCTGCCTTATGTCATATCTAATCAAAACCAACATAAATATAATGGAAATGATTTCATAAAAAAATCACTCATCCTATACTGACAGTACAACACTAGTCCTATACTATCAGTACAACTTGATAGCAATCGATGTCTTTTTCATTACGCAAGCGATTTTTATAAATATATTCCGTACGCATTTGTTTTAAACTTTTTGCGTATGTAACATTTTAAATGCGTAATTGGTACGCAACAATTAATTTTCAATGCGTAGTTGGAAGTTTTCCATGCATATTTTACCCGGATACGCAGCTTATCTGGGCCTCTGCTTGAAACTAACTGAAACAGCAAAAACCAGTAACATAACAACTCACTAAATCAAACTACTGTCAACCTCAGTATAATGAATACTGTAGTTTGGATATCAGTTTATCTTGCAGTGCAAACTAACAGGAGAAAAATAATTTATGTTAATGTTTAGTTCAGTTAGAGACAAAAGGTTGTGATTATTGTATAATGATTTAAATTAATACTTTAATCCACTATTTACAGATGAAAGAATTGTATTCTTTGGCACATAATTAAATTGGAATTAGGTTTCATGAAAATTAAACTAAGTTAAAAATATGAACATGCTTTCCCAGGATTATCATCCACTTTAATGTATCGCAGTGATAATGATATCTAGTGTTAATGACATATCTCCATGGAAACATTCTGGCAGTAGGTGACACATGTGAAGGAGGTTATCATCAATATTCAGTCATAAAACATAGCATGGCTAGCATTCACTGAACTCAATAGCATAACACAAATGATGTATGTGTAACTACAAATTAACAAATCATCATTTAACATGGTTGTGTGATTACATAAACAATGTAATCAAGCTTAATGAATGAACTACAAGGAATCAAGCATGGTAAGCTTGACATTTTTGATAAAACTATAATATGTTTTTTCAGAATAACAATGTGTGTGTGCCTTTATGTGTTAGTGTGCTAGACGATGAAAGGGATGCTGCTAGCTTACTGAGACTTCATGCTAAAATATATATACATGTATTTCTCTCTCTCTCTCTCTCTCTCTCTCTCTCTCTCTCTCTCTCTCTCTCTCTCTCTCTCTCTCTCTCTCTCTCTCTCTCTCTCTCTCTCGCGTCGTGGAGAGAGGTCGGGGGTGAGTGTCAGTGTGTGAGTGAGTTTCTGTGTTCCTGGTGGGAGAGTAAAGAAGACCTTTGTCATGCTGCTATCCCACTGAGCTATCATGCTGTGGTTTAACATGAATACCTCTATGTGTGAGGGGAGTGTGTGTGTGTGTGTGTGTGTGTGTGTGTGAGTGAGTGCGTGCATGCATGTGTGTGTTCAGTAGAGGAGAGGGTGAAGGTCAGCTGTGTCATGCGAAGCACCAGGCAGGGTAACAAGAAGTACCTCTTATGACAAAGTCAAGGCAAAGCATGAAGCAGACTGACAGCTACATTTCCAGGAGACCAGCTGTTTCTGGGTTATCTGGATGTCAACAAAGTGTCTCAGCATATGCACACACAAATCTGTTATATTGGGCTGGACTTTGAAACCTGTTGTGTCTCATGAACTAGTTGCTGCTCCTTTGAACAAAAGATCTATGAACAATTCTGTTTTACAACATCTTTTTCAGCAATATGGATGCATGTGTGTGAGTGTATGTGTGCACTTGCACGTGTGCATGTGTGTGTCAGTGTGAGCATGTATCTTAGTTGTATACTTCCAGCCTACTGAGATCTCATTTTGCAGTTTTAACATGAATAGCTCCCTCAGACACAATACAGAAACTACATCAGTCAATCCTTGTTTTTGACCCATAATGCTTAGCACAGGCAAGGTAACAGAAAGTAGCATGCCTTAAAGTCATTGGTATGATTAAACCAGGGATTGAACATTTGCTTTCTGGGCAAACACCCTGTCAAGTAGACCACAGTAAGTGAGTGAGTCTTGTTTTACACTGCTTTTAGCAATATTCCAGCAATATCATGGTGGGGGACACCAGAAATGGGCTTCACATATTATACCTGTGTGGGAAATTGAACCTGGGTCTTCCCCGTGACATCCACAGAAACAGTCCAACTAACATATATTGGTCAAAGTATCTCATTGACTGACTGACTGGCTGACTGAGTTTAGTTTTACGCCGCTTTTAGCAATATTCCAGCAATATCCCGGCGGGGGACACCAGAAGTGGGCTTCACACATTGTGCCCATGTGGGGATTCTAACCCGGGTCTTCGGCGTGACGAGCCAACACTTTAACCACTAGGCTACCCCACCGTCCCGTATCTCATTGAAGAGCTGATGGGCTTTCACAGTATTAATTCTTACCAGCATCTGTATCAGAGTGTGGCTCAGACAGAAAGAAACCTTTGACTGGCATTTGGAAGTGATTCACATAAAAGGGGCAACATGATGTCAACCTCTATATTATCAACACTACATTTCAGGGTATATCTCACACATTGGGTGAATGGTGAAATAGTAAGGATATACATGTGTTCCCCATAATGCAGAAATGTCCCCCCTGAGAGAATAAGCAAGAAGATGGAAACGAAAGTTAATTGTGTTATCATTCACAATGACAAATACAGAAAGGCTGTACCTACTTTTATGAAAGAAAAAAAGGACAGTATAATGACCAGATATGCTTTTGAAATCTTTGTTTGGAAATATTTTTGATGTAGGTGTTTATGCTGTTTCTTTCCGCCAAGTTAATGTTTTGGAACATGCATTAGCTTTGATTTAGACAAAAGGAAACAGGTCATTAAGGGTCAATGTACAAATAGAATAATTCTTTGAAGAAAAGTAGTGTTTTAACCATGTGTGTAGCTTCTATTCATTAGCTTGACATGCACACAAGTACTTAAACTACAAATGAATTATGGGTGGACTGTTAATGATTGTGTTTCTTGGTGTGTGTGTGTGTGTGTGTGTGTGTGTGTGTGTGTGTGTGTGTGTGTGTGTGTGTGTGTGTGTAACTTGACATGAGACTGAAAAAGTGTATGTGGGATGAATTTAAATGTTTCTGAATGAACTGGAACATACACAGAATAAATAGGAATAATAATAATAAAGTTGATATAGTTCCTCAGATATTATCAATTCAGAACTTTAAACCACATGTACCATATCGGCATAGGAAAGTAACGTAACCATCACATTAGACATACGTTATGTTCACACGCTGTTACGTTATTCCGAGTCGGGGCCTACCTGAAGAGATAAAGCCGCTAGCCAGGGCCTGAGCCATCCGCCCCGCCCCAATGAAGCCCACCATTATGTCTGTCGGAACATTACCCGCCGACTTCACTTCATCAATACCAGACATGATAAGATATCTCAAAACTTATAAACCCACGAAGTATTAATCAATAAATCACCAAGTGATTGTTATTCGCCGCTCAACGTGTGTGAGGAGTTCCAATCTGGAATCTTTGCGCAGGTGCTACCATTCGTGCATTTGATTGGCTGATACCAGACAACCGTCCCGCCCACTTGTATTATATCATTTATTTAAGCATTGGTTTTACCCCGGCCAGACATTTTCGAATTTCATGTTGTACAGGAGCAAACTGTCCTTGTTAACAAAACTGAGATAGGATCAGATAGGTGAGTGACCGATTAACTTTCACAAGGTCAGGTCTGATATCACGCTCTCAACATGGGATATACAATGCGAGTGAGATTCCATTTAATCAAAATGCATGCGGGTGAGATTCTTTTTAATCAAAATACACGCGGGGGAAATTCCATTTAATCAAAATACACGCGGGGGCAATATTTTGATCAGGAATCAGGCTTCTAATCACATGTTACAGGTAATCATTGATTGTGACGTCACGGTAACAATGACGTCACAATAATCATTAAAGCTGAGATGCAATGTAGTCTAGTAGTTCTAACCTTACATTTTAGGCCCCACAATATTTCATTGGGTTTTTATGTTTAATATGTGTAGATCATTGAACAACTGGATGCCAACATAGCCTCTTGAAATCATACAAAAAACTATTGTGGAACCTAAATCTAGTTTAAACAATGTATAAGCTATTCAAAAAGTAAAGGATTAAATTCTGTGAATCGGATTAACAAATAGTTATCTATATTCCAAAGAGAGGTTGTCTATCCATAAAAAGTGTTCCTCTTCATCATACCAGCTCCTGAATGCCTTTTAAGGGAGAAACAGTTATCTGTATACTAGGGATGCGTTTGAGACCTTGTCTATATATGGGGCGGTGGGGTAGCCTAGTGGTTAAAGCGTTTGCTCGTCACGCCGAAGGCCCGGGTTCGATTCCCCACATGGGTACAACTTGTGAAGCCCATTTCTGGTATCCCCCGCCGTGATATTGCTGGAATATTGCCAAAAACGGCGTAAAACCATACTCAGCCAGCCAGCCTTGTCTATATATAGTAAGATCACTGACCTCTGTTTCACCCAATACCATCTACATGTCTATGTGTACGGAAATGTTGGATATTGTTGACACACCTATGTAGTATGGAAGAATGTCACCAGTATCCAATAATAGATTCCTGGGCATTGCTTATCGCCAGTCATATGGCTGAATATTGATAAGTAAAATAACAAAAACCTAAACAATTCGTTCAAATATGTTGCAAAAATAACCCAGTACATGTATTTGGGGTGATATACGAAAATATGTGAAAGTATTAGAAAGTAATGTTAATGTTGCTACAAACATACTTCGGCTTGACGCGGCTTTAGAAAGGATTTCACTATCATATCAGAGTGTTATGAGTGGAAAGGTCGAAGTGGTGCAGGCCTTATGTTTAGACGTTTACAATAAACAGAAACTAAATAATAAAATGTAAAGATAAAAAAATTCTTTGAGAAATTCGCTCGATCAGCTAAAACGCCCTGGAGGTTTGAATGCATTAATAACAGGTTTCACATGTGCATGATGCAATGCATGATGCAACCTTCCTGAAACAGTTTCCTCTTTCTCATAAAATCCGCACTAACTGTACGTGCCGCTCTACTTATCCAAATAAAAACAGCGTCTGAGACTCGGGTTTACTGTAACACAGCTGACGCAGGAGTAATTTGGACTTTGTACTTTTAAAATATATTGGCCCTGGAAAGTGAAGACTACACTGACACGTCTACTACAGTAAGTGCAATATCAATATATGGGCATCAACCCCACCCGTCTCCATGTACTTTGACAATATGAGAATTTATAACACCGCCCAACCCTACTGGAAGTAGAAAACATTATTTTGTTTGTCGTGATATTAGTTATTTGTCATTATTCCCCTTGAAAATCATTTTACTTGTTCATTCTCTTTTCCGGGTCAGTTATTCCTGTCAGAAAGCTCTACACAGCAGCAAGCAATACCTCGGTCAATGCTAAATCTAAAAAGTTGAAACCATTTGTCTAAGGTGGACACGGTAAAGGTTCGTACATTCCTACGCTGGGTGCAGCATCTCTAACGTGAAACAATGTTGGTTGGTTGGTTGGTGTGTTGTTTAACGCCGCACTCAGCAATATTCCAGCTCTATGACGGTACCCAGTCTGTAAATAAACGAGTCTGAATCCAGATAATCAAGTGATCAACAGCATGAGCATCGATTTACGCAATTGGGATACGACGACATGTGTCAACCAAGTGGGCGAGCATGACCACCTGATCCCGTTAGTCGCGTCTTACGACAAACATAGGTTGCTGAAGATCAATTCTAACCCGAATCTTTACGGGTCTGAAAAGAATGGAACACATTTATGACCTAGCCGATCAAAAATGGGTTCAGGTTGTTCCCAGCTTAAAATCAATCATTTCACGGTACGGCAAAAATGTTAACACGCAATTTGCCATGAGCATCTATGTGTGACGTATAACATAGATTTGCTATGCTCATCTCCACATGTGCAGTTAATGCTGAACTTATGAACTCCCTTAATAAAATTGATTTCTGTCAGACAGGTACAATGAGATAACACACAAGACAAATTTATGATAGTATAGCTTACAGTGAAGCTAACGCTCATGGGGTAGGTCCTTAATCGACTCTGTGAAAGCGTTGGACTCTCTTGTCTGGTCCTTTCGTCCTGGGCGCTCAAACTATATTTAGTATTATATTTCTTATATTTGAATTTGGTGAAATGTTTGATTATAAACGGGAGTACGTCTCCTGAAGAGAGGCTGTAGACAAGGTAATGCCCTCTCCCCATATATTTTTATCCTGTGTGTTGTGAATTTGGTGATCACATTTGCTAAAATCAAGAGGACAACAGAATTTCCATTTATAAAGGATATCAGTTCGTGACCTGATACTAACGGCACATATTTGTTTATCTTACATGTTCCTCGGAAATAATTTGCAGCAACTGTTGATACCGTCATATTGTTTCAGGTGCTCGGATCAAGTCCCATGTAGCTTGGATCTTTGTAATGAAAAAATGTCAGTTACATGTTTACCAGAATTTGAAGCTAAAATTGAACTCAGAATATTTCAGATTACTTCAATTTACCTTTTCAAAAGAATTATCGATTATGCATGATCAAAACGAATTCCGCAAATGTACAGTTTGAATGCCAACAGGGCACTGGTAATTTATTCGTTTTCCTTACTCTCCCTGACAAGGGTGAGTTTTCTGACCAAACTGTTTTCTAAGTTGTTATTGTATGGAAAGCTAGTCACGGTAAAGCTCGTAAACCAGTTAAAGGTCATAGAATGTGAAGTATCTGAAGAAAACATGGATTCGAAAATTCTCGACGCGATTTTTTTATTCCCTCAGAGAATTTGGCAGTGTTTGGTCATTCTTTTCTCTCTCGTGAGTAAATCATTTTTCTGCCGTTGAAATAATTATTACAGCACATTTTCTACAAGAGTAACATTGCTTGAAGTAAGGGAGTTGGGTGTAACGCGGCATTAAGAGTATACAGGTCTCAGGCATGCGCCTCCTTTGATGAAGCCCACAAGCACAGGTATGGTGAAAGCCAGTAGCACTTGAGCTTTTGGTCGCAATTAAGCGCACGCCCACCCGCTCTGACTGGGTTCGGTATCCCGGGCACAGGGGCGTGTCACGCTTAGAAACAGCGTTAGAAAGACATATAGGTATATAGACCCTACCCTAGTACTATATCCTAGGGATAGTAGGGTAACTAGGTAGACATAGGTATATAGACCCTACCTAGCACTACCCTATATAGTACTATATCCCTATATAGTACTAGGGTAGGGTCTATATACCTATATGTCTTTCTAACGCTGTTTCTAAGCGTGACACGCCCCTGTGACCCCGGGTGCTTCGTTTCGAAGGAAGTAAACCGCCCAAAACGGTCATCCATCCAAGGACTCTCCGTGACCAACGTTGCTGAACCTCACCTGATTGCACAAGGCCACACATACCACATATAGAGGTAGCAGCGATGAGAATGGGGTATTTTGAAAGCGGACATTTCTGTTGGGTTACAGCTGCTTGTCGGTGTCGTGCAGTTTCTGACGTTTTGTCATCCTTGGGGAAACGTTCCTTCAGATGTTGACGCACACTCTGCCGATCCTCTCGCGGCGTTACCCTACCTCTAGCTACCGCTGTTTGGGCAGCCATTGAAGCTGATGACCTGGTATCATTGTGTAACATATCGGAAATTCTCACGTGGGCATAAAAAATCATCAGCTACCATTCGTGCAGTCTGGCCATCATGCAGTCTTCCAAAAGATTTGCATGGCGTTAGTATTAAAACAAGACAACCCTCGTATTGGGGAGCCGTTTGATAGAAAGAAAACGCCCATTTTGTTCTTTGTGGACAGAAAGTCGTACTTTGTACCCTGGTCGTTCTTTCGATTTTATAGCGAACCATTATATCCGTATCTGTGTCGCATTTTGAGCGTCGAGATTAAACTTGGTTGCAGGCTTATGTAAGAGACAAGATATGTAACAACTGAACTGATATTTGAATAGAAAACTTTAATGAATTACATTCAACAAGTGACGTCACTAAGCGGTTCAGTATGATTTAAGATTAGTTCAGAGCTTGTAACTCCTCTCAGATTCGATCAGAGCAAAATGTTTCCGTGCTCATAATGTGACCTTCTCCCTGCACCTTGTTACAAACACTGATAGTGTGTTTGAGCTGATTATTCTTATGTCATTCTTAAAAAGAACATCAAATATAAACAATTTCCTTTCTTCACCTCAGTCCACTGTTTTCTACCATATACATGTACAGTACCATATTTCAGTGACGACTTTCCATATGCATGAAGACCGCCTCCGTGGTGTAGTGGTTAGAGCGTCCGCCCGGAGAGCGGAAGGTCGCGGGTTCGATCCCCGACCGCGTCATACCAAAAGACGTTAAAATATGGTACTTGTTGGCATTAATGGGTACAACAAGGACTGGTCGGCTCGGAGTCAGTATAATGTGTCTGAGTGGGGTATTCGTGCTTCACTGCGGCATGGTATCTCAGTGGGCTAGCACTATAAAACCAGCTTAAGTCTGGACTAGTACAAGCAGCCGCACATACACATATACACGCATGCACGAAATATGAGCGAAATATTCTCAAGCACGACGTTAAACCCAATTTCACCACACCTATATGCATGATATTCATAGACACGAGAGGGCGTGTGAACGAGGTTAGTGTGAATGCGTGTACTGAAAAAACAGGTGGCACGTATTTATATCTCTCAGCTTTCATGGAGTTCATGACTTACCAGGGCAGAGACTCCTTCTTTGTAACAGGACTCAAGTAATAATAATATCATAATCTAAAATACAATCAATACCGTTATCATAAACTTGGGTAACATACATACAAGAACATTCATTCTGTGTAACATACATGCAGCCAGAATCTATACTGTCAGTGTCTTTATTCTTCAAGCTGACCATACTCACTCACTCATATCGCATGGTGACAATCACTGGATTGTCTGGTCCAGACTCGATTTGTTTACAAACATCATACAGCTGTAATACTGCTGAAACAAATATATGCTCATGATATAGTTACAATTGTACAATCGACTCTGCTTTTAGCTTTTATGAACGTGGAAAGGGTTTTGTTGCTTCTATCTATTTGAAATGTGTTTAATTATACTTACATTTCAAATGATAAGTCGCCTGTACCTATCACCACTAGCCCACGACACATTTCTTGTTCATCAATGTAAACAAAGTCATTTTCCGTATCCAAATAGAACCATCTTATTTAATCAATAACGGTAACATAGATATGCTTTGCAGTCTCTGTTGTAATAACATTAATATATTCAATGCATAGGTAATAAACGCCATATTGATATGGCGTAAATGGTACAAATATATACATATTGTATTTCTGTTTGTTCAGTCAGTCAAAATTCGCAGTTACCATCCTCCGTCTTGTCACGGATGATTCGTTTGGTTGGTTGGTTGGTTTGTTGTTTTACGCCGCACTCAGCAATATTCCAGCTATATGGCGGCGGTCTGTAAATAATCGAGTCTGGACCAGACAATCCAGTGATCAACATCATGAGCATCGTTCTACGCAATTGGGATACGATGACATGTGTCGACCAAGTCAGCGAGCCTGACCACCCGATCCCTTAAGTCGCCTCTTACGACAAGCATGGGTTGCTGAATACCAATTCTAACCCGGATCTTCACGGGTTCTTGTGATTTCTGTTTCAGAACCATGCGGCACGGTGTCTCTTAAGAGGAGATATTCGAAAATATGGTAACCAGATAAGAAACGCCCGTAGTAAATCAGTATATCCAAAAAGCAATTTCAAGAGAAACTAGATATAGCATCCTCGATAAATGTCACACTATCAAGAGCAATATTATCATAGTGGAAATGTATATGAAGGATGGAGAAATACACGAGAATATGCCTATAAATCGTCGCACCTGCTGAAGCTGGATCACACTTTTAACAGTCCGTACTACCACATCTGGTGTATCATTCTTTCGATTGGACCCGCCATTATTTTTTAGGAAAGGATAGTTGTTCGTCTGTCATACATTATTTTGAACGAACATTTCGATTAAATTACATCAAACAGACGGAACCTTTTAAAAAAATTTTTGATAAGTGAATTATTTCGAATTTTGTCAGCAAACGTGTGATCCCAGCGAGGTTCGAAACAGCATTATTTGATCTGAGGACACAAGTGCAGTGTGAAATGAAATATTAAATATATTATCAAATACTTGCATAAACCTTAAAAACATCTACATTAACATGTATATTATTTTGTGGTACAGCAGGTTACCTATACCGATGTTTATACTTAAATCAAATAAACCTTTCACGACAAACAATAATCCGTTAAATCCATATGTCCAATGATCTGAACAGATGAAAAGTGGGAGCGATTCATAAGACACTCGTTTAGGATACAAAGAGTTCAAGTTTAATTTTCAATTATCTTCCACAAAGCAAAAGGGTAATATTCCTGTAAATCTCCATCCCTTGGAAATACTGGGCCTCGGCTCCATTATTGTTAAGGAATGATGAATTGCTCGGCCATTCCCCTCTAAGTTATATGAACCGTTATTTTGGGAACACACAGTCACATACACACAGACCGTAACAGCTGCCACGTTGTGATAAAAATATCAAATGTCTAGAAAAAAATATAGAATTGCGTAATATGAATGGACATGAGAAAAAAATATTTTTTCTTGAAATCGTGACAATTAAAAGCTATCGATATGATAAAGAAACCCAAAGATTCACACATAATACAAAAGCACCAAGAAAGCCTATCCATGAATACATGTTTACACGAGATTTAGGAAAGACTTTATATTGCGTGTAAAATATGACGTCATGAATGGAACTCCACTTGAAACTGTATGGCCCATTTTCATCACGTTGGAACGCATTCAATATGTTCAGTATCGTTGTGTATTAAATGATGTTTAGTTCAGTTTCACATGATGTGGGTGTTCTACGCACAGCAGAAAATCAATCTTCATTCTACTGACGTCGATCCAACTAAACCATGTGTCATATGAATATATCAGTACATAAATACACAAAGGATAAAAATCGCTCATAAAATATTTATTATGCTAATATACACAGTCACAATAAAGTGTAACACGGAATGCGAGAATGATATAAAGATGTGATTCAACTATATATATCTGAGATTCTTCTATCAAGTCTACACTCCCGCCACGTCAAAGAGCTTCCCCATGCAGTAAAACGCCCGCAATCGTGTAGCACCACATTTGTTTCCATTTGTTCATGTACCTTTCTCAGCCTTCGCTTTCAACACGAATTAATATATCGTTACCACCGGTAGTCCAATCTTTTGTAAAAACATTGACAGTTCAGAGACCCAATGAATGCTATGTGGTCGGGTTGTCATTTCTACAGCACTAAGCGTAATCCACACTGGGACCTCTTCAGTGTACACTTCTTCACAGAGCTCTTACCATACACAATAAATACATAAACAATAAATATCTAATGGAAACGTATCATTATTGTATCATAAACAACTGAATATCAAATTGAGATGAAAACTTATTATATTTGTATCATCCCGATTTACCAAAATTAACAGAAATTCAAATTTTAGCATTTAGTTCAAATGGCTATTGTTTAAATGGCTATACATGTCATGAGTGGTCCCATACAGGGCAGTAGTATATTGAACCTTATGCACTTAACAAATTCACAAACTGGTTTCTAAAACCACCCAGTTGTGTCCTGCCGCAAATATGCTTGGAGAGAAGGCCTTCGTAACAAGCCCTGGACACCTCGTCATTGTAATTTTCGTTTATCATAGTAGTTGAGTTCCTGAAACATTACACTGTTCACTTCTTCTGTCCAAGCTCTCTAGCTCGTAGTGTTGCCGCTTCCACTGCGTCTATCAAAGCCCCCCTGAACCCAGCCTTCTCTAGTTTATGCATGGCAGCAATGGTGGTTCCCCCAGGGGAACAGACTTCATCTTTCAGTTGACCAGGATGTTTTCCAGACTCGAGAACCATCTTGGCAGCTCCCTGAAAATCAAAGACAAATCGTGATAGGGTTTCCTTGCTATATCGACCATAAAGTTAAATAGGCGCGCAAGAAAGGATGACGAGTTATCTCCCTTAGATGGACTACCATGTTTGGAAATCCCCATAGACTCTCACCAACATGGTCTGTGCTGCAAGTTTCATGGCCAGGTCTCTGGGGAGCCCCATCTTCACCCCTCCGTCTGCAAGGGCCTCGATAGCTGTAAATGCCTGCAAATGTGATTTCAAACCAGTTAGTATCATTGGATTTTTCTTTACTAACACCTTTAGGACTTCAAGTCATGGTGTAGGATTCAAATATTCAAGACAGAAGACTATCCGACAAGTGTCCTTAATTTGCATTATGACAAACAGTGTATTACACAGTGTAGTCTGTTATAGACAGAAGGGGTAAAATCCACATACTTTTAATCATTCATCATTGGTTAACATACGAGAAAGTTGATTGTTACAAATACGATATTTGGGTAGGTGAAAACAAATCCTGGAGATTTAGATTGTCAAACGCTATCTCATTTAGCAGGGATGCTGTTGCAGGAAACAAACAAACTAACGAAATCGTTTAGATTTAAACGATGATGTATTGCACGTTAATTATTACTTAAGGCAAATCACAACACATTAACTGCTTGTAAATCATATATTACAGAAACGTCTCCTAGAGTATAGGTATGGGTTGGTGGTAGTGAGTAAGTGAATTTAGTTTTATGCCGCTTTTAGCAATATTCCAGCAATATCACGGCGGCGGACACCAGAAATGGGCTTCACACATTGTACCGATATGGGGAATCGAACTCAGGTCTTCGGGTGACGCTATAACCACTGGGCTGCCCCACCTCCCCAAGGGTGGTGATAACTTATTGTGCTTACGTATGCTGGGCCGCTGCCGCTGACTCCGGTTGCACAGTCTTGTAGACTTTCTGGTACTTCCTCGCACTGACCTACGCTTCTCACCAACGTCATCACCAATGCCACATCCTCCTCCTGTGCAGTTATTCCCCGCGACAACACCGCCGCCCCCTGGCCTACAAGGGCGGGTAGATTTGGAACAACCCGTATGAGTCGAGTCCCCGTGGGTAACTCCTGGTAGAAAAACAGAAGTGACAGTCTGTTTCATAAACCTTGAACGGAATGGACAATTCTCATCTAAAGTAACAGCCATGAATGTGTATATTCCGTGATTTGATCCGGTCATCTAAATGACCTAAAGTATGCATGTTTGTTTGTTTCTTGATTGTTCAGCGTTAAACAATAAACAACATACGAGGCTATTTGAGCACCGACACCAAAACACGACGTGAGCAAAGAATGACAGACAGAATGTAGCATCAAATATAACGTAAGAAACAATTGTATCTACCGTTATACCTTCTCTAAGGTATCCATGGTGATCCCAGCGGCTATGGAAATTATCAGTTTATCGGCTGTGACAGTTTCTGCTACTTCTTTTAACACGGGGGCCACCATGTATGGCTTAACAGCAATGAAGACCAAGTTGCTGCGTCTGACAACCTCCTTGTTGTCCCCTGTTACCATGACACCCATGTCCTGCAAATCATACAAAGCATATTCTTATAAAAGTTCACGAACGTGAACATGTATATCCTATTAATGCTGATGATAAGGATATTCTTCCGCATAGCGACTTAATGAGGTCTTTACAACGGTCGGTAAACAGAAAAGTTTGGACCAGACAAACCAAGTCGTGATTAATGTTATGAGCAACGATCAACGCCGTTGAGATACGACGACACACAGTCATCGAACCACCTCGGCCTGTTCCAAGAACCCATCTTATCATAAAGATGATCGCAACTGAAAACGTTAACATACGTCCCCGATCCACTGAAACTTCTCTTACGATAAGCACGGGTTGCCAGGGGCAATCTTCAATCCAGACTCCTATTTCTTCGCGTTAAAAACTGAAGATTCAATCATGTGTCGGAAAATGACATCTGTAATACTCTACCTTGAGAATATTCGGAGCCTCAGGGTGTCGGCGGCTGGCTGTAACGTTGCACGCTTTTACGAGTCCTATAAGGTAATACATAATGTATAATAGCAACTATTATTTTATACAATACCTTTCATACGAATATTTACAACTTTAAATCTTACAAGATTGAATAAGTTATTTTTATGAGTCACATCTCATTTTTTTTAAATACTGATCGATGGCAATTCATTGGTAATCCAGTGGAAGATATTTTCAAAGGTTTTCTTCAGATTTCACCGTTATGTATAATATACACATGGATAACTGTGCTTCGTTATGTAAGGCCGGACTAAGCTATGTGAAACCGTCCTGTAGATAATCGAGTCGTTGGGTTTGAGACTTACATCCAGACCCATACAGGCATCTCCTTTGACAAACATTGCTGGGGATTTTTTCCAAAACCGTATCTCTGCGATTGAATCTCCTTTTATCAGCCGTTCTTGATATGCTATCCAAACAATGTTAAGCTACATCAAAAGAAAGTTAATTGCCTCCAAAACTATACACAAGAAGAACGAAGAACTACACAACTCACCTGTCTTAACAAAGCCGCTCGCGAGTGCTTGTGCCATCTTTCCCGCACCCAAAAATCCTACCCGGATATCTGGAGGTAGACTGTTGGCTGCCATTCTGGCTTCTCTAACTTAGCCGAATGGACGTAAGATGTCCTTACAGGGTATAGATCTCTCGTGGCGAAACGAAACCTACCATCAGCGGAAGATGCAAGTGCTATTTTCAATGTGAGTTTGCTATTCAGCAGTTGACAGCGTTTGGGGTTGATTTAACAACGTCTTTATCGGAATATTATAAAGAAAACGAAAGAATTGGTGCGTATGCAGTGGGCTTCCTAACGGACGTGAAAGAACGTATGTAAAACTCTCTTAGACGGTCATGTTAGACAAGCAACTGCAAGAAAACGTGAAAGGGTTGGCGATACATGTGTGTGCAAAGGGAAGTAACTTGTCACTACTATGCCTTTGGAATACCACAAATAACTTTTTTGGGGGGTACAGTCGGAAATGCCTATCCAACAGAAGGATGACGGTGGAAACTATGAACACAGGAAACAAGCAAATGTACCTGACATCATGACATCATGAACAAATATATACCTATGATTTTATTTATTCTTCACTTTATGTCGCATCAATAAGACAAACAGTTGTAGAATTAAAACCACTAAGGCAGAACTTGAGATGTAACACAAATGATAGGCGCCGGTGTATGGCGCTCAGTCAGTCAGTGTTAACACTAAAACCCGTAGGCATTCCAGGTGAAAGTACAGGTCCTCAGACACCAACAGGTAGAGGAGTATCACCGGGTGACGAGGCTGGGTGGCACAGGCCCTCGTGTCTTTGCGAAAATTAAAGATTACGAAAAATATTGTTTTGAGATGACCCCCGACTCGAAATGCTACACAGTACAATACATAATGTATTGTACTGTGAAGCATTTCCAGTCGGGGGTCATCTCAAATGTTATGTATTATTTTAACATCTTTAATCCTCGCAAAGACACGAGGGCCTGTATTGAGTGGTTCTTGTCCCAATTACATAGAACAATGTCTTTGACTGGGACCTGGTGGCGATTATCTCCACTTATTGCTGATAGCGCCCTCTGCAGGTCCCCGTAATGATCATGCGTCAATGACATGGGCTGCCTTGTCTAGACTCGACATTTACGGGTCACCTTTATATAGCTAGAATACCTCACAACTAACCCTAAAGATTGTAAAGGAGTATATAACTGGCTACTGGCGCCCAATCACTGAAGGTGTGTTTGGTCCGAAAAACTCGATCATTTATCGCCTTTATACAGCTAGAATATATAGTCGGGTGCGGCCTGAAACAACATACAGTCAACAATACTCCTAGGGGCACGTTAGAGGTGAAATAATTTTCAGGATTTCTCTTCTTGATCTTTATTCATTTTGCTCTTTGTTGACTGGCTTGTTTGTTCAGGTGCCATTGTTTTCACTGTTTGCCACATGGACTCATTGTTGCAAATATTTTGAAGATAAGGTCCTTCTAAATGTGTTCATGCCATGAAGTGGAACACTTTTTATGGATAGACAACTTCTTTGTTGCAGTGGTAGTTGCGACATTTTGGTGTAGATCCTAACACCGTTATCAAGCAAATGATGCTTGATAACGGTGTTAGGATCTACACCGAAACGTCGCAACTACTACTGCAGCAAAGAAGTTGTCTATCCATAAAAAGTGTTCCACTTCATCATGCCAGCTTCTAAATGCCACTTCAGGAAGAAAGATGTTCTTGACATCACAAATGATAATATAATAATGGCCGTTTATAACGCGCCTTTTCCACCCACTTGTGCATGCTCAAAGCGCTAACACATTATTACCCCGGATAACCCAAGCTGCCTGTGAATCGCCAGAAGGTTATTAGTCACATGACTTGTCCGGGTACAGAGGCAATTTTGAACAAACTCGCCTAAGGTGAGACCACATGCGTCACACGTGTTTCGTTGTGTCGCAGGACCGAAGTCCTAGAAACTCTCAGGAGTCAAGCTGCCTTACACGGTCACCCATCCAAGGACTGTCCGACCTCAACGTTGCTTAACTTCAACTGACTTTATGACCACAAAGCGATCGTAGCGCTAAGATGACCGTAACTTCCATACTTTAACATAGACTGTCGTAGCGCTAAGGTGATCGTAACTTCCATACTTTAACATAGACTGTCGTAGCGCTAAGGTGATCGTAACTTCCATACTTTAACATAGACTGTCGTAGCGCTAAGATGATCGTAACTTCCATACTTTAACATAGGCTGTCGTAGCGCTAAGATGATCGTAACTTCCATACTTAAACATAGACTGTCGTAGCGCTAAGATGATCGTAACTTCCATACTTTAACACATAGGGGCGTGTCTCGCTTAGAAACAGCGTTAGAAAGACATATAGGTGTATAGACCCTACCCTATTACTATATAAAAGGATACACCTATATATATGTCTTTCTAACGCTGTTTCTAAGCAAGACATGCTCCTATGCTTTAACATAGACTGTCGTAGCGCTACCATCGCCTTGAGGAACGGGGCCCCAAACTCTATGCGCAGCACCACACGCCACCAATGATGTAATGTGACGTCGTTTCAACAATAGGCAATCTGTGGTGATGTTTCCACTTTCGAAGAACAATCAACTAAGCTGGGTACGAAAAAGTCTACCCGCAACTCAGTTACGGATTACCATGTCCCTTAATTGTATGTTCCTCAGAGCTCATTTAAACTCGTCCTGTGTTATCTCATGTACATGGTTACTGAACACATATCTCACAAAACGTACCCAACTGTCCCCCGCCCATTTCCAGGTAACTACATAGGGACACACACATGCCTAAACATGTGCGTGTCCAGCTGAAACAAACTGTTTTAATCTATTGCAAATATTCTGACACGCTAGTTATCATCACAAGTCACCCTTTTCATGATAAATAAATGTGATATGTTCGACATTGTCTGTTTATCTTTATCACAAAGTTGTGCAAACATTACAGTCAAAGTAAACTTAGGCTAAGTATAGCAGTGTAACGAATAGTACTGAGCCTAAGTTTACTTAGACTGGCAAACATTATTGCATCCATTTAATGTAACTATAAGTCTTTGCAGGCTGAATCTCTCAACCGTCGCTGCCTGTATTATTCAAGATCGCTGACACTGAATTTGTTTTGAATGTATGTTCTGAATGATAAATCGCCTGTATGATATCAACAAGCAGCTGCTTGTTCATAAACGCAAACCTTTTCAGTATCCAAAGAGAAACCATACTGAACACTAAATATTAATGATAAAATTATATTTTTGCGGTCTCTGGAAAAACAAACAAAACGAATAGCAGTTTGTGACCAGACTGATTGCCATTCACTCAGTCACTGAGATTACTGAAAACGAAAATGATTTTCAGTTCTTATACCAAGTAGGGGCGGTGGGGTGGCCTAGTGGTTAAAGCGTTCGCTTATCATGCCGAAGACCCGGGTTCGATTCCCCACATAGACACAATGTGTGAAGCCCATTCCTGGTGTCCCCCGCCGTGATATTGCTAGAATATATCTAAAAGCAGTGTAAAACCATACTCACTCAATCTTATACCAAGTTTCAGTTTTAAGATCCTAAGATTATTGCTAAGAATGAACAATTAAGTGATGTTTGTTTATATTTTTGGTGAAAATATATATGTAAGATATCACTGAATTATTTTGAAGTAATTTGTTAACTCTGAGGGAAAAAACATGCATGTTTCGAGGTTCAAGTTCAGCCACATAGGAGACAACACAAGGGAGAAACTCACAACTGCAATTGCAGACCAGTGAGTGAACATTGTGTCACGTTCGTTGCACTTTCATTCATGCCAATCATTATCTATAAAATATATGTTGCAAGTTAAGTGATGAAATTGCTTTAAAAGACTGCTCATAATGCAGAATACTGGGCGCCTGTCCTGTTTTCCTCAAGTTGAACCATAGGCGCTCGACTCTGATATATTTATAAGTATGACCTATATGTATAAGATTTAATCTTAAATCTTATACATATAGGTCATACTTATAAATATAACAGAGTCCAGCGCCTATGAGTTGAACATAAAACATCTGCACTCCTTTCACTTTCTCCTTAAAGCAATATTGACCAAAACATCATAGTGTGTAGGCCATCGCTTTCCTCAAAAATGAGTGAGAGAGTTTATTGGTTCAACTCTTTGAACTGTATTTCAGTTATGTCGCTATATACGTATGCAGGTTGAGATTAGAACTGAGCCTCAGGTAACCATTCTTGTCCACAGAGACAATTGAACGTATTGGTTGAGGAGTGTCATTGATCTATGCTTAACTTTCAGCACTGGACTGGCTAGACTTATCTGTCTGAAATATTGTGGAGTGCAGCATTAATAGGCATAATATATCAATGTTTATATTTTAACCTGAAAACAGAAGGAAAGCCTGAAGTGATACAGGTCTGATAGGTGAGTGAGTGAGTTTAGTTTTACTCTGCTAAAATATGACAGGGGACACCAGAAATGGGCTTCTCGCATTGTACCCATGTGGGGAAGTGAACCCAACACATTAACAACTAAGCTACCCCACCGCCCCGGCCTGAGACTGGTTTACCACTTCGGTGGTACATGGGTACAGTGGTGACAACCCAAGAAGCATTCATAGGCGGATCCAGAAGGGGGGTGCAGACCCCCCCTATTGTGCTGAACGTTTGTTAAATGACCATTGAAACTCGGGTGAAAATGAAGTGTGCACCCCTCCCTTTCTCAAAAAGCTGTATCCGCCCCTGAGCATAATCAGGGCAACTCTGGGGTTTCAAACGCACTGTCCTAGGGTTCTGGCATGTTTAAGGGACACAGCTGTGCATAGCAAATTTCAGAGTCTTAAAGTTGGCCACCTATACCCAACTCTCATCAAGACACAAGCACATGAGACAGAATGCCACTTTTTAGTAATATTCCAGCAATATCATGGTGGGGGACACCAAAAGGGGCTTTGCACATTGTAACCATGTGGGGAATCGAACCCAGGTCTTCGGTGTGAGTAGCAAATGCTTTAACCACTAGGCTACCCCACCGCCCCTGTATGCATGAACTATAAACTTGGTCAATATATTATTGATTATATAAACCTAAAACTATTGGTGATAATGAACCATATACAAAGAAAACAATTGTTTTTGGTCAGATAAGTTTATTATAAAAATGGAATGGGTATACAAATGATGGGAAATGGTCTAAGATTACAATGTGTCTGTAATAGCGTTTTTTAAAACTATAAGAAAAAATAAAGAACATTAATATTGACCTTTGTTTAGACGTCATTCAGGTGGAATTTTCACAAAGTTTCATCACATACAATGAATACTGGAACAATAATAGATTAAAAGGCTCTGTTTAACAAACTGAATTTCAATTTATTGTCATCAGCTGCAAATTTCACTCTTTAACAAAAATCAGCTTTAAAATATTTTAGTTAAAACAGTTTGGGTAATCATGCAATTGATCCTGCTGAAAGAGCTCAACATGGGTATATGAATGTATAAAATCATTATATACAGACGGAATGTTAACAAATCTGTTCCATCATGAAAATGGATCTATCTCGATTAAAAAAATAGTGTAAAGAATTATAAACAATCCAATCAATGAATATATACAATGATATATGATAGTGCATTGGTTAATTAACATTCTATTTACATTGATAAATATGAGCAACACACTCTGAGATTTCCCAATGCATCAAGGCAAGTACGGAATTCTGGATGGAATTGTGTTTTGTTTTAGATTGAGTTCATTTTTCTTTTGCATAGTCATTGGCTGATCATGATATGAAACATAATGTTAATAGCAATTGTTTCATTACAGTAAAAACTTAAATTCTTTCTTTGCAGTCACTAGCACAAATATTAAAAAACTCAAATTGAATAAATGGTATTTATGTTCTGCAGACTTTTAATATTGGACTTTTAATCCCATGATTTCAAAAGTCATGGCTCTATGAATCAAAACGAATTACTTTCATGTTTCATGGCTGCTTATACAACTATTTAACTTTGTACTGTACAAGAATAATACAAAAATAGTCGTCAGAAATAACAAAGACGGCCTATTACTAATATCCCTCATTGTCCTTAGTCTTCTTAGACGCCTTATGCAGCAGGTACGCCGACACCACGGATGCCAGCCCAGAAATGCAGCACAGTCCGTAAGACCAGGACAGGAAGTTCATATCGGGTCGTGGCACCCACGAGCGGTCTTCCTTCTTCACCCCAAACACTATGAGGGCAATCAGAATCAGGACAACTGAAACAATGAAACAGCAATGAAGTAAAGAAGAGTGAGTGAGTGAGTTTAGTTTTACACCACACTCAGCAATGTTCCAGCTATATGGCGACAGTCTGTAAACAATTGAGTCTGGATCAGACAGCATAAGCAGCAATCTACGCAACATGGTTATGATGACATGTGTCAACCAAGTCAGCAGGTCTGACCACCCGATCCCGTTAGTTGCCTCTTACGACAAGCATGGGTTACTGAAGGTCAATTCTAACCCCAATCTTCACGGGTATAGAGACGAATGTATGTGTGCTGCTGTATGTCTTCATTCTATTATAATAATACTCTCTGCCTGTTTACAACAAAGCTTTATTTTGTAAGTGGAACAGCCATTTTTAGCAGTTTTTCCTTCAAATATGGTTCAAAATGAAGCTGTGATGGTGGATGTACCCAGGGTACTTGTAATGATTGAATGGTGGTGAATGTACCCAGGGTACTTGTAATGATAGAATGGTGGTGAATGTACCCAGGGTACTTATAATGATAGAATGGTGGTGAATGTACCAAGGGTACTTGTAATGATAGAAGTGGTGAATGTACCAAGGGTACTTGTAATGATAGAAGTGGTGAATGTACCCAGGGTACTTGTAATGATAGAAGTGGTGAATGTACCCAGGGTACTTGTAATGATAGAAGTGGTGAATGTACCCAGGGTATTTGTAATAATAAAATGGTGGTGAAAGTATCCAGGGTACAGGGTATTTTACATATTTCTCCATCGCCTTGCTCAGACACAGCCATTGCTCTCATACTGCCAATGATATCCCTGTTTGCCCATTATTACTATTTACCACACTAAACACCTACATGACAATGATCTTTAATTATTCAAGTCTGGACCTGAAAATCCAGTGATTTACATCGATCTACACAATTGGGATCCAACAACATGCATCAACAAAGAGTCTGACTACCCGATCCCATTAGTCAGCTCTTAAGACAAGCATGGGTTGCTGAAGACCAATTCTAACCCGGATCTTAAGACTGCTGGTAATGGAAAAGTACTTTTTTAGGACTTTGTTTTCCGGATCAGCATGGGTTGTCTGCTCATGTAGAACATTAACACCTAGGTACTTACAGGCAAACAGATTGACACCAGCTGTGGTTATCAGAATCAGCTGCTCCAGGGCTTTAGGGAAGAGCTTGAACAGGAACAGGACGAGTGCGATGACATTGAGGCCTTGGACCAACAGGGTGAAGCTTACCATCACCTGCACCGAGATGAACCATGCTGCAACACAGAGGATGCAATCAGACGGTGGCCCGGAAACATTTAGTGGTCTCCAGGAGTATGCTTCGGGAGGCTCGGGAAGGTTAGATGGGATTTGGAATCATGAGGGTTTCATTCAGGAGCCAATACATTCAGCAAAAATAGTTTCACATCTAAGAATATAACAAAATACCTAATAATACCTGGATGCGTTCTTGGATTTCAGTTAGAGCTGCTTGAAGGATCCAACACATGCAGCTTGAAAAGCTAGTCTAGGCTAATGAATTGACCTGATTAGTATGACCAGCCTACAATTAGGCACTATCACCAATAATTTGTTCTCATATTCCAAATGAAAAGCATCTGAGTTTTTATTTTCATATCATGCGCTGTAGCCATTTTCTCTGCAAACACTGGATTAATTTGTCTTATGAGATATATACCCTACCTCACAACTAACCCTGAAAATCAGAAAATGCGTGACTAGCCCAAGAGATTGTAAAGGTGTGTTCAACCGCCAAGTGGTGCCCAACCATAAGGATCATGAATGGGCATTTGATGGGTTAGGTGTATTTTCAGAATGGGTGCTTAATCCTAAAAGAGGGACTTAAACTGGAAACTAACTTTAGACAGCTTCACTTTACTAAAAAAAAAGAATCTCTATATAAATGATGAATACTTTCATTTTCAGCAAGTTGAGAGTACTCAGGTAAAATCTTTGGCAAGACATTCGCCCTTATCCCCACCTAAATGTTAATTTAAGATGAGGAAAGATTTCTTTGACTGGCATTTTTGAAGTAGAATATGTCTTTCAGTATGTTCAGATACAAATACAAGAAACGTGTTAAACACATCCTTATCAGATGAGGAATATTCAATCAGGTGATATGATTTGACTAGAATGAAATTCAAGAGGGGATACGGGCGGAAGTCTTTCCAAATCTTTGTACACGGGAAATACAGGAAATGAGTGTCGTTCAAGTGTAATATTTGACCTTCTGACACAAGTTCTGTGAACAAAATAACCATACAATGTCATGTTTATAGAGGCGATATATAGGAGCCCCCAAAATCGTAACATATATGAAAATAGAGTACGTCATACGTTAATCTACAGAGGTGCTATATGGTTTGAGGGAATGTCAGTCAGTAGATTAGTCACCGAATGGTGGACTTCCGTCCTCCATTTTGAAATTCTTTCAATTGTTTACTACCTGAACAGGTACATCAAATCATGAATATTTCAAATTCTAACACCTGAAAATATTCGTATATATATCTAAATACTTACGTGGTGATAGCCATTCCCAAATCGGTCGAATCTGTTGCGAGAAGATGTACCAACAACCTAGGTAACGCTTGCCATTGTAATCCTTGTAGAAAGTGTAGTCGTTAAAACAGACTTCCCACAAACCGATCTTTGTGAATCTTCCTTGGAATTTATCGAATGATTCCACCCAGTATGGACTGGCGAAGGCTAGAACCATGCATCCGACGGCAACAGCGGCGAAAATAAAGCCAAGAATGGCCTCTTTCCCCATTTTCGTGTTGATCTACCTGTCGCAAGCCTTTCGAATTAGGTCATCTCACCTTTCAGGAGGGAGTGGGCGAGTCTATTTATTGTCATCTGCAGGGAAGATAGGTTGTTACGGGACAGGTATGCAAGTTCGGTGTACAAGACCATTACTGTCCTAACTGATAGCAGAAGGTTGTCTTTTGTTCTGAAAAAATCCCTAATTACTACATTTGTATCATACATTGATTTCCCGAAGAATTAACTACTGATTGGTCGAGTCCATATATAACGTTCTGTATCATACATTGATTTCCCGAAGAATTAACTACTGATTGGTCGAGTCCATATATAACGTTCCACTATTTCCAGAGTCAGTTTCCCGAGATGAACAGGAAACTCCAATGGATATACTTATCTTGTTGTTAATTATACTTATTAGTAAAGCCGTTTCGAAGGAGTGATGCTTTCTGTGTTGAGAAACGTGGAGATTCCGATAAAGAAATATTTAGTTATAAGTTACAAAATTCAGATTTTCGAATCAGTTTAGCTCTGTTAAATCTACAGGAAACCTAGCTCGACAATAAAATCACAGGTTTACCACGTGTGCACACAAACGCACGCGCGCTATCTAGCCCGTGATGTGATTATCTTTGTGACGTAATGAATTATTACGTCAACAATGTTCTAAGTAGCCGAGTTGGTATTTGCAGTGCTTCAAAACTGGTGTTAGAAATGCAGGTGAAATCATAGATGTAACTGTGCGTATGTGCGTGGGGCGGTGGGGTAGCCTAGTGGTTAAAGCGTTGGCTCGTCACGCCGAAGACCCGGGTTCGAATCCCCACATGGGTACAATGTGTGAAGCCCATTTCTGGTGTCCCCGCCGTGATGTTGCTAGAATATTGCTAAAAGCGGCGAAAAAACAAACTCAATCAGTCAGTCAGTCTATGTGCGTATTGTAACTTGTGCTCGTGGTTTAACTCGACTATTTTAAACATATCGATAATAATTATGTATAGAATGGGTATATTGCTAAATGTTCGTACTTATATATTCCTTTAAAAGCTTGGTTAGACCTTTCGTCTCTACAGATGTATCCAAAGAATCAGACCTCCACCGCCCAATTACGTTCCATTCCTATAAAGGCCAAAGATACACACACCAGTTTCTTCTTAATGCATCTTTTCATTCGATTCTAAACCTCTCTCCGTTAAAAAAGGACTTTTTAATGGATTGTGATTCTCGAAGAAATTAAAAGCTCTTCATAAAAATAACAACAATGATATGGAATCTGCTAGCCTTTATCCTCCTGTACATTCAGTTTTGGTTCTCCTTACATATACATATAATAAAAATCATTGTTCGCAGTCTCCTAAAATAACGCCAAATGTTTGGAATATCTTCCCTCAGAAACCGTGTTCTGAAATACTCAACGCACAGTAATTTCTCCCCTCTAAACATATACGAATAAATGGACATGTTGCAGAAAAGAAAGAATCTTCTCGGTTCCCAATATAAGAAAATCCACCGCCTGTCTTATCCTGTTACCACCCACCATAGCACGAATATGTGTGTGAATGCATGCATGTTGTTTTGCGCCGCGATTAAAGTATCGGTATTTCAGATATGCATGTATTAGCTCTACCCTGTAATTAACATAACACACACAAGTACACATTATGCAGATGAACAGATGATGAGTTTCCCGACCTTTACCATTCTGGTCGTGCACTGTCTGTTATTTTTAGTGAATGCTTTTCAAGTTTCTATGTGTGTATTTTGGACCGAAGTAAAGATATTCAAATATACATTTTCACCATTCTCGAATCACAATTCTTTGGAGTTCATACTTTTATTTTTGTATTCTCGACCAAACGGTATCAGTCTCAAGTTTATTTCCAAATTCTTCATTCACATATCATAAAACAGTAAGGAATGCATTGGACAACAAAAAGAAGAAAAAGACATACCCTACTCATATTTCACAATTGTGCTTTTGATAATTAAGAAATACAGTTCGCTCTACCACCATGTATAGCGTAATAAAGCACACTTTCGCCCTGAACTATTATAGTTAAAGCACGAGGACGCTTGCAAGGGGCAGACTAGAATGGCGCAGTGACGCCAATACATTGTGACGTAATGCAAAAAGTGCACATCATTGTCTGATAAAGTACTGTCGGCGCCTCTGACCTTTTACCGAAGCATCTTAGAATCCGGGTTATTACACATCCAGTCAACACTCCACATCGCTGAATGTTTTATTGCTTATCCATGTGAAAACACATGTACCCGTTTGTGGTTTGTTCTTCACAATTGCTTTGTTGCATCATTTTTTAAATCGTAACTCTGAATCATTAATTATTTGGGATATTATTGAAAAAAAAATCATGTCATTTTGTGCTTATATCTTTGCTAACCATCGACACTTTGGATTTTCGAATATATTTTCTGAATTGACATATTTTCAGCTCTGTATCCCCAATTAAAGACCTTCAAACACTGTGCAGAGGCAGGGGCCAGTGTATATCAGAGTACATTATCACTTACACCGTAAGAGAATAATGACAACTTTAAAGCATGAATTAACATTCCCTGGTGTTGGATTTGTTCTTAATATTTATACCAACGTGAGTGAATAGAATTTCAAACCAGGTGTCTAAGTCCTCTCGCAAAATGTATTATACTTGGATGACTTTTTGTCAGATGGTATCTACATGACAAACTTGGTGATGTCAGACTGACTGACTGACTGAGTTTTGGTTTTACGCCGCTTTTAGCAATATTCCAGCAACATCAGGGCGTGGGACACCAGAAATGGGCTTCACACATTGTACCCATGTGGGGATTCGAACCCAGTTCTTCGGCGTGACGAGCCAACGCTTTAACCACTAGGCTACCCCACCGCCCCTGATGATGTCAGAAGCAGGATCAGTAACAGTATTCTTCCTTCATCCTCAACCAACAATTCATGTGGAAATGTCAAATGACATATATGATCACACCTCTCGGATAACCAATCTATGAAATAATTCCTAAACTGCTTACAAAAGATACACATCTTCACATACTTAGCCTGTATATATAAGAGGGTATTTTATGTTGACATTTTGTGTAACATTTGATTCCGCACTTTGTCTCTTGAGAAGTTGGATAGATCTAAGGAAAAGTTCGAGATCGGCCAGGATGGTCATCTATGGAGCATTTAATGGTATATCATATTAACATCGGCTCAATATCACACATGACCACACCATGTGTTTGTGCGCCAAGGAGACATACAACACACAATGCATACGCGATGGGGTGTTGAGATTCTTTCAGGAGGTAGCCCTTTATAAACCATACATTGTTTTCACTTGTGCAATTGATTCTAATGTATCGGAATGCAATCGTTTGGTTGAAAACTTGAAACTGGTTGTTCACATGGTTCAAACTGGGGGATGGATTTGAGACAGTGATTTTACGCCACTTCAAGCAATATTCAAGCCACGTCACAACGTGATATTTCCCCAAGGAGTTTCTTCCTGGCTATATCGGAAGCAGTTTTCTCTAGCCTTTTGACAGCTTCTCACAATGTATCCACTTTAGGAATCCAGTCTTATCCACCTCCCGGAATAGTTAAGCGATCACTATTTCTAAAGGCTCCCATTTGCCCTTTTATTTAATAAACCTGAGGAAGTAATCACAGCTTTTTCAAATCAGATTCCCAATTACTGTATTTCATAGATTAGTTTTTTACCCTGGGATTTCTCTTCATTACTATCTTTGCTTTGATGTGGATTGATAGAGCGTTGGAAAGAAATACATGCCTGAGCGTTTATTTGAGGAAATACAATGTCAACCCTTGCATGACTGAACATGTTCTGACCGGGAAACCCCATGGTTTTCTCCAATACCTCCCCACTAGTCACCTGCTGGGGTGAGTATGGCAGGGGCCTCCTTATAAAGTTGACCTGTGAAGGTCCGGGTTAGAATATTGATCTTCAGTAACCCATGCTTGTCGTAAGAAGCGACTAAGGGGATCGGGTGGTCAGGCTCGCTGACTTGGTTGACACATGTCATTGGTTCCCAATTGCGCAGGTCGATGCTCAGGCTGTTGATCACTGGATTGTCTGGTCCAGACTCGATTATTTACAGACCGCTGCCATATAGCTGGAATATTGCTGAGTGCGGTTAAAAACTAAACTCACTCACTTCGTTCACCTTATAAAGTTCTTCAGATATATATGGAAGGACCAAGACCTTGCCACTTTTGGGACAGCCCACTGAAAATGATGACAAACCTACAAACATAACCAGGGCGAACCAGGATTGAACCCATGATCATTGGTTTCTGGTACAACAAAGGGACACAACTCTAGCCACAGACCTGCAGCATCACGGATGTGGCCAGCAGTGCCTCCTCACATGCTGACAACCCTAAGGTATGTATTTCCTCTGTAGACTAACTACAGTGTTGTGTCAGAATAAATACAGATACATAGTGTTATCTAATATTCTTTAATTTATCAATAACAATATGTACATATGGATATATTTTCAATAGTATTAACAACAAATCACACGTGAAATGACACTCCAAGAAAATAGACCATTTACCATCCATGCCTTCAAATTAACATACAAATGGCACATACATTCCTTAAATAAAACAAAAGGAAAAGCGTTTGTCCTCTTGAGCAAATCTTAATGTATACTCAACAAATAAGATAATGCACAAGTAGGTGTATATATGTAACATACTGTCACCTTTGTGTGTCAATATATAAACAGGAAAGTCACATCTTTGAATGACTTCACAATCACGGTAGTACAAAGTAAACCTGAGTATATACAAGCATAACTGTGCATAGCTAGTAATATTCTCCAACACAACCTATCCAGCTTCTCTATAATCATCACATGCAGTGCTGACATCACATTTTGGCTCAGTGCAAAATAATATTGGCATACACTGACATATTTCTACTTTCTACTAAGTTCTATGTACACAATGTTTCTTAAAGTTTCCAGATTTCCCCTGACCCAGCAGGAATGAGTTTAGTAAAATTATGTCTTGCTTTTGAGTGAGTGAGTGAGTGAGTGAGTGAGT